AAAACACACAGAAGCCCCATGGCGTGCTAACAGGGTACGCTTTCGCCAGTTTGGGGATTCTTTTTTTTTTTTCGGGGAGGGAGGGATCTCGCTTCAAAGTAAGCAACGACCAGAATAATGGGATTAGTATATGCATGATGCATTCCAGGAAGAATAAGCTATTAGGTAAGAGAAGGATCATGATCATTTTCCCCGAGCATGAATATGGAATAGGCTCAAAGTACAAGGCAGAAAAAATCACGTGTGATTTCCGGAATACGGTATTGGTTAAGGCTAAGGCATTTTGGTACCCAAAAAGCCCACTTTGTACTGGGTCACCGAAGAATACAAGAGTAATTTTTATACGAGCTCTGAAGCAATAGTCGGGTACGAAGATTTTGATGTCCTGCGCGAGAGCGGTCAGGGAGATTTTTGTATTTTATTTCGGTCGCCATTCATGGCCCCCAGAATTCCCTTTGATCCCTCTGCAGCGTCGATCTTGCCTATAGTCGGCCGTGACAGCGGGCTGACGTGAACAGCGCAGACATACTAGCATGAGCTTAGCTGACAGTCGTTGAAGAGCACGGCTCTTTTTGGAAGCGTGTCAATAATTAGATGGCCACTTGGAACTCATGAAAAAGAAAAGGTGCATTCCATAATCAGCCGCGGGCAGTACCTGCATGTTGCCTCCCCCTTCTCCTAGAAATAGACTTATAGAGACACATGAGGCAGATCGGCGATGACAGGCACGGAGAACGGCGATGCAAATGTTCTGGCCTCAGAAACAAAGAAGCGTATGTACAAAAGACAAGTCTATTGTGTTAAAAAAAAAAAAAAGCGGAAGACAAAGGCCCGATGCAAGGCACATGTTGCCGAGTATGATGTCAAGACAGCAACCTATTCGACGCCAATTCCTTGACTCGAGAAAGAACGGATGAAACCAATGGCAACATAATAGTCAGTTCTGGCTTCGTTCGGCACGACAGCCGAGGAACGTTGCAGGACATTAGTTGTGCTCTGTAGCCGATGCTGAATCGTGCGCTGGTCAGTAGATCAGATCAGATCACTTCACGACGGGAAGTTTTGGAACTAGAATATAGGCCCTGGATGTGGCTTGAGCACGGACGGAAGCATGATTGGCCTTTCGGATTTTCCTCCTCTTTGCTTCCGGACGCCCCCTTTCGCGCTTGGCGCAGGTGGCTTCGATGTTGGATTCGGAAGCTAGGACTCTAGTCGTGCGCCTCAACGGGTAACTAATGCACTAAGTGACGAGGACTTTTGCGTACGTCACTGTTTGAGATTCAGCCTCAGTGGTGGTATGGTATAGTTGGTATATTTAATTCCGCAGTGTGAATGTGCATGTTGTTTGATACTCTTTGTGCAATGATTAGGGCTTTGGTTATACTCAATATTCCACAAACTTCGATTCAACTGATTAATAGACAGAAATACGAGAGAATGTTCAAAAGGTTCGTATCATATAGGAAAGGTGGAATGGGGCCACTATTTTTCCGTAGCCTAGTGCAGTCGGATACGAAGGTGAAGACAAACGAGACGACAGGGGATCAACAAGGAAGTTGCAGTCGCACAGAAATCAAGAGTTGTAGGCAAGCAAAGAAGGCAGCAAAAACAAGGCAAGACAGCCAACATGGCATACTTGTGGTGGGTGTTGTGAACTATAGCGTCCAAACTTTGGCCGGTGCGGTGCGATGCGGTGCGGCGGTGCGATTGCGGTGCAAAGTGCAGTGCTGTGGTGGTGTGCTGTGCTGTGCTGTGCTGTGCTAACAAGAGATCCGGCGCCCAGTGAAATAATAATGGTTTGCGATTCCGCCTGTTCGGCAGTGGAGTTTATTGAGTGACGGTTGATCCAGAGCAAGGCGAGCGTGCATCTTGCCTCCTTCTAGTAATAATTTTCTGTTTAGTTTACAGTAGTGTAGGAACTCGGACGATTCCGAGTCACTAGAGGGAGCAAGTCAGGCAGGAATTTCTGCATCTCCGTTCTGATGTTGAAGGTGTGTGAATTGCGGCCTCCTGAGGACAATAGTCAGTGTAGTGTACACATCGCTTACACTTACAGAATAACACTTGGGATAAATTCTTGGTTTTTCTTCCCTCCTTGACCCCTCTAATTGTTCGGGGTTTTTCTGTACGCGGACTCCGATTGGAGGGAAACAAAATGCTTGCACGCGGTGCTAAGTATAGCTTGCATTGGTTTCACGAGTCAAGGGGCTAATTAGCGGAGGAGACGCGGGTGAATTCTCTTCAAGCGCATTCTCTTTTTTTGTGCCGTGAACTCCGTCTCAAGCTTCCATGTCGTCAATTCAGCAAGGAATTGAACAAGTGAGAATACGATGGAAAGAAATAGTCAATCCCGTCATGATCGCGTATACGACATTATTGCAAGTTTGAGTTGAACCGCAATGTCCGAAATGCCAAGACCAAAAATTACAATATTCCATGACAAGTGGGAATGAGAAAAAAGCAGAGACAAAGAAGAAAAGAAAGAAATGGATACCTCGATCTGCGCAAAAAGCTAATCTCCAATTGTCCAAGCTTGGGCTTTTTTTTTTTTTTCTTTTCGCTGGCTGCCCACGAGGGAGACATTCAGGCAGTAGTTGGTCGTTTGACTTGTTTTTTTAAGTTTTTCATCCCCCCCTTTCGTCTGAAGTCCTGAAATTCCTAGGTCGGTAACAGACATGAGATGACACAAGCCGGTCGGTCTTCTTTGGTAGTTCAGCAGCATTTACAGGCTAGAATTAGATCATGCAAAAATAAGCATTTGCCATGACATGGTGATGCATGTATTTGATTTGTGCTTTTGGATGCTGCTTCTAGCTTACTATGTTGCCCAGGATGGTTCCGGTGTAAGACTAAAAGAATCAAATGTGCATATTTCATCGTCGGCTAATTATACAAAGTACGTACATTGATGACAGATTCTGTATGCCAGGAACGAACAGCAAAAACTGTAGAAACAGAACTGACCGACAGCTAATATTATTCGGCCAAGCAACCAAAACAGCCACAGCCGCCTGCGCAACCGCTGCGGTCCGGATCTGCGGGTTCGTTCCAATGATCTCAGCAAGGGTCGACCTCGATCGATATGATTTGCTGCGGCTCCCCGCTCGCCTCAGGCACCACGAGTTCGCCATGCTGCGCCGCAGGCTGGACGGGCGTGACGGAAGGTGGGTGCATAATGGCCGAGAGGGCAGAAAAAACTGGGGGCCGCCCCAAGAAAGGTTTTTTCTTCTTTCCTTTTCCCCCCCTTCTCTTGACTCTCTCTCTCTGTGCTCGAGGTTCGTTCGCACTGGTGTGAAACCGGGTTTTCCTTACCAGCGATTCGCAACGCCGTCTCCCCATGATTGCGTTCCTGGGCCAAAATAACCCAGTCACGGACCCCATGCCGTAACCTGCGGCTCTAGTGTATTAGGGCAAATGTGGGACCATGTCACTTCTTCGATGGATTCTTCTGGGAAAGTCCTTTATACTGCTTACGGCCAAAGCCGCTCTGCCCGGGTGAGCGGGTACCTGTTTCGCTGGCGTAACGGGGTGGCTTACACAAGTACCGGTAGATGAAAGGGACGGACTCTCTTCTTAGTCTTGTACCAATCGACACCCCCTGTCCACCCTAGAAAAGAAGATGTGGGCTGTTGCTCACTGACCTGAGGCACAGGCACATTAATACAGTAGTACGATGTATGTACATGGGACGGAATTTCCATAGTAGTGGTACTGTGTGTAGGCAGTACCGCTTGCACCACTTACCATGTCACTCCAGTCACTCCAGATCCCAGGCCACTACCGCCGCTACAAGCCAACTATACGTAAGAATCTGCGTAAGAGTGGCTCTGGCCAGGTCCTGTCTGCTATGGTCATGAACGGCGCTGGCGCCTTTCGTCGTTTCCTTGACAAATGGCGTAAATCCGAGCTGTATAATCCTGCCCGATGCCATGGGGGCCTCAAGGCATCATGACGAGGGCCCAATGTTTCCATCTGGGCTCATTTGCTTCCTTCCTTGCAAGAAAAAAAAAAGCTTATTGCATCTCGCCCGGCTGGTCGGAGTCGGGAGTAGAGTCATGGAACTATACATGTAGCCGACCCGGTCTCTCCATCTGGTGACCTCGTGTCTCCTTCTTTCGATTCTTGCTCTTGTTACTCTTTGAGATCCTCCTTCCCCCAAGTGGTCATAGACCTACAGTCATTCGTTCAAAAAAAATCATCTCAAATGTCTATAATCTGCTAATTACCTCATAATAACCCCAAACCATTAAATTCCTTTTTGGAATATCTCGACTCTTGAGTCGATACATCACTCGCTTCGACTGAATATACAGTCACATCAACATTCGCTTATTAATATAAACAAGCCAAACAACATGGGGCTCCAAAGACAGGAGTCCGTCAAGGTGGCGAACGTCCTCGTTCCCCAACGCCTTTTGTCGACAAGAAATAAGAACAAGGAATGGAGGCCGCAGATTGTCCAGAACCAGGAAGATCAGGATATCGAGGCAGAATTGAGCAAGGCCAGGAATGTACGGGATCGTCCTCGACCGGCAAGTGCCACTTACAACTCATCTTCACATGAGCTCGCCGCTCCCAAGCCTGTACACTTTAGCCGGCCCAGGAAGTTTAGCGATCCCACCTCGGTCAGATCATCGGTCCTCACAGCTCAAGACAACCCCTTCCACGACGCGTCCAAACACAGATCGACAGGCTCGTCGTATCCCTCGTCTGTCCATGAGTCCTTTGCCAACTTTGACTGGGATGGCAAGAAGCAACACAACACTGCTAGCACCAGAACGAGTTCATACACGGACTACTCCGATGACCTAAAGCAGGAGCAACAACAGCAGCATCAACAGTCACAAATCCCTCAACGATCCAACACGGTAAAGACTATTGCAAAGGCAGTTCTTCCCGATGCCGTCATTGAGCGAGCTCGCAGCGTTGCGCACAGGGCGAGACGGGGTAGCATGGTCGAGGTGTATGAAAAGGCCAAGATCCGCGGTAAGCAGCTGGAGCGCAAGAAATGGGTGCAGGTGCTTTTCGAGTACACCATCTACCTCCTCCTGCTATGTTTCATCTACTTTGTTCTCGTCGGCATGCCCCTCTGGAAAGGTGCTGTCTACTGGCTGTACTGGGTCGTTTCCACCAAGTTTGTCATCACTGGTGGTTGGTCCATCACCATTGGTATCGCCCTCATGTAAGTCCTTGATATTCCCGCTCTCTGCATGGTTGTTTGTGCTGACCGTGACAAAAAAAGCTATGCATTTGCTCCGCTTCTCATTCTTTTCGAAAAGGAGCCGCCCATGGTGGAGAGGCCTGCTGATTTCGACCTCAAGACTCTCCCCGGAGTTCACAACACTGCTCTGCTCATCCCTTGCTACAAGTCAGAGAACATCATTGGACCGACCCTGGAGGCAGCAGTCAAGATCTTCCCGCGTTCACACATCTTTGTCATTGCTAATGGTAACTCGGAGACGCCGCTCGACAACACCGAGGAGGTCTGCCGCCGCTACGGCGTCAAGCACGTCTGGTCCAGCGTTGGCTCCAAGATTGTTGCCCAGTACGTGGGTTGCTACAAGGCCAAGCGCTTTCAGAATGTGCTCCTCATTGACGACGACTGCGCGCTGCCCCCCAACTTCCCCGTCGTGAGCGACAGGCTCGTCGGCAAGATCAAGAGCGTTGGCTACACGATCAAGAGTGTTGGTCCCGAGTCCTCAAAGGGTACCTGGTGCCAGCAGGCCCAGGATCTCGAGTACAAGCTGTCTGGTCTCCAACGTGCCTTTGCCGGCAAGGTCGGTAGTGCAACTTTCCCCCACGGCGCCATTTCTCTCTGGGACCGCAAGTTCCTCGTCAAGACCTTCAACGACCACCCCGGCTACTCCGTGTCCGAGGATTGGTTCTTTGGCGACAGTTGCCGTCGCCTCGGTGGTCGCATCGTCATGTGCTCGTCCGTCTTTGTCGAGACCGAGACCCCCAGCTCCGTCTTCTTTAGCAGCGGTGGCAGCCGTGGTGGCTTTGGTGAAATGACCATCTTCAGCCAGCGCTTCATGCGCTGGAACTTCTTCTTCGTCAACGGCATGTACTACAACATGAAGTACATTATCAAGAGCTGGAACCTGGGCTGGTGGGAGATTGGCGCCAAGATCTTTGTCTTCCAAGAGGTCTACGAGACCCTGCTCTACCTGTTCACGCCCTTTATCCTGCCCATTTCGTTTATTGTGCGCGCCGACTTTTGCGGCTACCTGCTGGCTGGCACCTGCGTCATGTACTTTATCAACGTGCTCATCTTCAACGAAGTCCACCTGCGCCTACGCAACGAGCGCATCAGCTGGACCGTCCTGATCCTCTACTACATGCCCTACAAGCTGATCCTGACCCTGGTCAACGTCGCCTCGTGCTACTGGTCCCTCTACAAGTACGCCGCCTACTTTGCCAAGCGCCACCCCAAGATCATTGAGGACGAAAAGGCCGTCGAGGTCGCCATGCGCGCCGACGCCGAAGAGGATGTGTACGAGGAGAAGAAGGTCGTGTCCTACAGCAGCAGCACCGTGTCGTCGTCTTCCAGCTCGAACCGCAGCAGCGACTACAGCCGGTACAGCGAGCACGGCCTCCCGCACATGACCGAGACCACCCAGCACCAGACGACGTACAGCAGCGTGGTCAAGAAGAGCAACCACCGACTCAGCTTTGTGCCCGGCGAGTCCGACTACATCCCGCCGTCGCCGCAGCCGGGCATCGAGGCCCGCGACTTTGGCGCTAGACACGAAGATCCCCCAGTCAATCCCTTTTTCCACCCGGACGATGAGTCGTCGAGACGGGCCAAGGACCCCTCGGCTCAGAGCTGGGTATAACACACCCACATTCTTTCCTTCTTCTTATTTTCCAATTTCTTATTTTTACTCATGCATTTTTCTGGCGCATTGGAGGAGCATAAAAAAATGTTCAAAATAAAAGGGGCACGGATATCATACATGGTTAGACATGGCGGTTACCCGGAAAAAGAAAGACGTATAATGTCTATAGAAACCTCATTTTGCCTATTTTAGCGATTGTCTTGCATATACTCAAGTTGGGATATACCTGATGTGGTTTTTTTTTTTTTTTTTCTACTGTACATAGTAAGGAGAGGTGTAAAAAGTTGACACAAAAGTATGCAAGTTAATGCAAAGCAATGATCTAACTTTTACTCCTTTTTTTTTCTACTCCATTATAGTGAATGACATTGATGCGTGTAAGTTTCAGCTGACTTTGCTGCGGCCGAGTATGGATTGATCGACTCCGGGGTAAAGGTTTCAAGAATAGTAGTCTTGTTGCCCCCCTGGCCTGCCGCGCGTCGACTTGGCGGAAAAGTCGTCATCTAGGAAGAGGCTTTTTTTACTCGGAACTACGAGCTGCGGGTCTTTTTTTCATTCTTCTAAAAAGAACACTACCGGTACTTGAAAGGTCTAGGCCGTGTAGTGTATAATGGTGATCCGCAGTCAGAGTACGTGTTGTTGTTTTTGCCCGCGATGATTACATGGTAGTAGCAGCAAGTCATACCTCTAAGAATGTAATAGTATAATGGATCTAATCTAATCTGCTTCTCACGGCCCGCTCCTCTCGGTCATGGCCGCAGAGCCTCTCTCAGTTTGTGTTGTAAAGCACCAGGAAATGAGGCAAGGCAAAGAATCAGGCTGACGAGCATTGTACGCACTTTTAATTTTGACCATGTATTAGCTTTTCAAGACACAGCCTTGCCAGCAAGACAGGGGGGAATGGAAGAAGAAGGGAAAAAAGTGAAAGGGAGTACAAGATCACTAATGGGCCCCCCATTCTCCAAGCCTCTTAGTACACGGATCCGCCCGAGACCTGCGCTAACAAGCCTCGCTACTACGACGCCAGAAGATCGCCAGCACAGTTGTCCAGAAGCAGTAACTAGGTTAGGTAACTAAAGAAAAGGACCCCCCATAGGTCCAGACTTTCGGGATGTGGACGGGAGTCCCTTGTTCATTCCCAACAGAGCTCATTGCAACCCTCTTCAAGCTGAAATTTCTCCATCATGAGAGTTTACGCGGATCTCATTAAAATGTCTGGAACGGAACAAAGGATGGAGACTCGATTCACAGACGATCAGGGTCGTGGCTGAACCATGACGAATACTTTTCCCAGTAAGCGGCGCTCATTGTCTAGCATGTCCATGTGCATCTTGGGTTCTTAGGTATAGAGGCACGAGGGAAATCAACCTAGAGGGTCATTCGATAACGAATTACATAATTAGGCCACTTAGGCTACGACAGCTTCAGCTGCCATGGCAGCACCAAAGTACGAACGAGCTACGTTGCATGTCACGACCTGTCAAGTCCTTGCTCAGCCGAGGGCCATGCTCCGATTTCCGAGAAGTAATATGTTATATATCCGAGAGACGTACCAATTCTACGTGTTGAATAATCAGTTGCAATATGGTTGAAATATTGCAACATGTTCAGCATAAAGTCATGATGCCTCTCTCCCCGCCTCTTTTCGATACAACAACTATTGAAATCTTGGCTCATCAGCCAGTTCAGCTCTAGAGTCATCAAGTATGCGGTCTTGAACGCTTTCATCTGCTGCTTGACAGTCGACAGACTACCCATCTATAATAACAAGAAATATGCAACGCACCGGATGGCTTGGGGCAGTCGACTTTGGTAGTCTTGTGTCACCTCATCTTGAATTCATAAAAGGACGAAAGTTCCTTCAGCTATTGCCTTTTTTTACCTATTTCTCATGCAAATGCTTGCTGCTGCTGTTATTACCAGCCAGGACTTTGGTGCGGCTGAACCTGACTTGCATCTCGGCCCGCAGCAACCTATTGGATCCTACATGCATTCATATTGCTTCGTGCATCTGTCATCTCGTATTTCGGTTCTCGGCCACATTGATATGGCAGGGACTGTCATTCTTTCCCAATTCCTATGCAAAGAAAAAATGAGTCGTGTAGATCTATATATCATATTGTAGGCCATGATTTTGTAAAAACTCCCAAGTCGAGAGTCCGTCATGAATACTGTTTCTTTTCATTTTCCCATTTCCTTTTTGATGTGTCTTGGCCCCAAGTCCCAATTTGGGGTTTTTAATCTGCCCAAACAAGCCAGTCAACATTCCTGCCTGCAGCTCATATGCAGGAACATGGTCAGTCCGACAGGGGGCCTCCTCCAAATAGGGAAAACCATAACCTTAAATGAGATGCCATACAAGACAAGACCGCTTTGGGACGATTCGGGGCAAGTGAACTATTGCCCTGCTGCATCAACACAGTAGGACTCCCTCGCTGTCGCTCATACCCCGGAAAGGCAGCAAGCATCTTTGGGCGTTGCGGCGTCTGGGGCTCGGTGCAAACTTTTCTCATCAACACTACAGTGTGGTAGTGCAAAGCGCAAGGCCTCTGGCAATATAGGAAAGCTGGTTCACTGTCCTTGGAGCATTCCAAGTACGTTTGGGCCTTCTCTAACATCAAGGATGCTTGATGACCACTTGCGCATCATACTCAGTGACAGGAGACGATAGTCAGGAGATGGTAATGATGTTATCAGGCAGGGGACTGGCTGAGCAGGCACATTCCTACTTGGGATTGTTTCTGCATCTATTGAGAAGCCCATAATACTACCAAGAGGTCAATATTGCTCGCTCAAAGGAAAAAGACCCCTTGAACGCCACACTGCAAAAGAAAACAACAGCCCACCGTTGCGCTTCTTGGCATATGCATGGAATATTGCTTGTTGTTCTCAGCTATTGCCCAGCGACATGGACTGAGCAGTGTTCAATTCAACTTCATAGCCAGTTGATGCCTATATATAATGGTATCGTGCCAGCAGTTTTTGTTTCGGTCAAATCTGTAGAGTCAGATCTCAAGAATCCAGGTTCTCTTTGCACCTACAGAGTGTCCTTTTAAATATCTTCTATCCGTGATTGCACCAAGACATCTCCCCAGTCACAATGGCAACAGGCTTCCGGTCCTTTGCCGTCATCTTGACCGCGCTCAGTTGCCTGCCCCGAGGCCTGGCGTGGTATAGGGAATTGCCCACCTGTCTCGACGAGTTTCAGCCGTTTGTCCCCGTCGGGTGCTTTGACAATGGCGAGCCCGGCGGCCAGGAGGCCTTGTCTATGAAGACTGAGATTTCCGTCACCGGCATGACGACGGAAATTTGCGTTGCCGAGTGTAAAGGTTCGTATTTACTACTGATGGGTTATTTGTCTTGACAAATAACCTACTGCAGATCTCTGCGGTTCCCATTCTTGGTCATTCTCCGCTAACAAACTTGTAGGCAATGGGTTTAGATATGCCGGCCTCGCTTGGTACGGAAACTGCTATTGCGGACAGACGGTCGACACGGCCATGGTAGACAGCAGCCAGTGCTCGCTGCCCTGCGACGGCAACAAGACGCAAGCCTGCGGTGGTGATACCCAGGTCAACATTTACCAAGACCCGACTTTCCTCCCCGTCAACGAGACCACCGTCGACGAGTACGTCGCCCTCGGCTGCTATACGGACGGCTCCAGCTTGGGCAAGGCCCTCTTTTACCAGCAAAAGATGGCCGACACGGCAGATGTCACCACCGAAGCCTGTCTTGGTGCCTGTCTAAAGGGCGGCTTCCCCTTTGCTGGTACCGAATACGCCCAAGAGTGCTATTGTGGAGTCGTCCTTGGCAACGATACTGCTCAGGTGGATGTTGCCGAGTGTGCCATGCCCTGCACCGGTAACTCGAGCCAGATCTGTGGAGGACCAGATCGCCTGAGCCTTTATGTTGCCAAGGATCTCCAGTCGCTAGAGCCCTGTGGCTATGAACCGCCAGCCAATTCCTCCTCCACGACGACCATCATCTCTAGCACCACTTCTAGCTCTTTGGTTTCATCCTCGACTTCTACACCTGCATCTGCGAATGCCACGTATTCATACAGCCATGTCCCTAGCTCATCATTGAGTGTCCCAACTTCATTGTTTCCCACACGTAGTGCTACTCTCACCACGAGCGTGTCGAGCGGTGTACCAAGTAGTGCGCCGAGCAGTGCGCCGAGCAGTGTACCGAGCAGTAAACCTAGCACTACTACCACCAGCACAACATCGTCCGCTGCTATATGCACAGCCACCACCATCACTCCGCCGACCTGTGAGTACAGCTGCGGCAAGTGGTGCTCCTCGCCGCTTCCCGACTGGAGCGATGGCACCGGATGTCTGACGGCCTGGTCGTCGTGCTCCCTCCAAGTAGCCGCGTGCTTCGCAAAGGCTGGATGGCCCGACGCCATGGACTGCTTCAGCTTCTTGGAGTGGTGTGCCGACATTAGTACATACTGTGCTAGCAAAGGCGGCAGCAAGTCGGACTGTTTTGCCAAGAATCCGCCCAAGGGCGGCAAGCCATCTACCACGTCGACTTCCGTCTATCCGTGTCCCACCACCACGACGTCTTCAGTGCGCAGCAGCTCGAGCACGACAACCACTACCTCGAGCTACCCCGTCCCCACGCCCACGGGCGGCTGCAAGCAGCCCACCAACAGCAAGTACAGCTACGGCGACGGCGCGCCCGTGGGCGGCATCGCGCTGCCCGTCATGACGTGCAACAACCTGCAGTCCGACTACCAGAGCGGCAACGTCTTCAAGCTCTACACGGACTCGGACAGCCGCAAGTGCGCCTCGTACCCGCGGTCCCGGTGCGAGGCGGCCTGCTCCGACGCCTGCCGGGCCCAGTATGACGACTGCCAGTACACGTACGCCGAGGGCTGTCGCGTCAACGGCTCGGCGGGCGGCAAGAGTTATGGCGGGTCGGTGGATCGGTTCACCGAGACTTATGAGAGTGCCTCGACCCGGTGTACCTATCAGTACCTGGATTGCTTGGATGTGAACCACGGAATTACTGGAGATGGCAAGTGTACCAAATATGGTGGAGGATGGTAATTGTGCTGCCGTGCCTGTAATCACCTCGCCAAACGTGGCAAGAAAGACATGGAGTGGGATTCATCCGTGGTGTATATTATAACATTATTCATCAAACCGTAACTCGCTGACTGAACGCTTTTGTGTACCGAAACGCTGCCACCATATGAACTCCACAATCATGTACTCGCTGAACCGAAGCACTTTCAAAACTAGCTCGAAGATGTACTTTCCACAAGACATCCGAAAAGACGATGCCTAGTCGCTGTCCAAAGTCAGGTCGACGAACTCGGCCTTGCGCTTGACACCAGCCGTGGAACCCACCGTAGACGGCGTCTTCTGAGATGACCAAGAGGGCTGGGATGCCGATGGGCGCTGAGGCGTATTATATCTAGAATTGGCCTTGGCAGCAGAGGCTCTCTTCTCCGACGGGGTCGGGATGCACCCAGCTCGGGCAATCTCGTCCTGCAGCCGCGCCAGTTTTTGCTGGTCGCTTTCGTTGCCCGACCTTGGTGCCAGCGCTTCTCGGCGCTGAGGCGCCGACTTGAACGCGAAGACGGGGTATACTGTTGGCTTCGGGGCCGTTGGGGTCATTGGGGCCCCTGGGGTCGTTGGAACCAGATAGTCCTTGATCTGACCATGACGTGTTACGCCCCTTGGACGCCACTCATAGAGAGACGGGGAGGTGGCATGAGGGCTGCCATTACCCTGAGCATGAGTCTGCAAGCCGGCAGAGGGGCTGGATAGGTGAGAAAGAGATTGAGAATATGTACTGGTATAGGCCGCAGGAGTCTGAGATTGGATTGGTGTCAGCTTCCTCATGGTGGTAATCTCATCGTACTGATCCTCGAGGAGAAGCTTGAGTATCTCTTGATCAAAAGTCGAGATTTTATCCTCGGCCCTCAGCCGTAATTTGATCCAGTAATCTGTAGACTCTCTTTTATGCTTGACCTTCTTCGTCACAATCAAGGTATGCGGTGAGCCCGAGCGGCTTACTTCGAGGTCGCAGTTGATTTTACTACTACGTAGCATGTCGGTGAGGTGATCCCGGCGATTTTGGGCGAGCGGGAAATAGCCGCGCTCTCTGCTTGGATTGCCCAAAAATGCATTCAAGCTCCTGCAATCGTAACAAGTGCACTTTGTCAAGTCACGCGTCCAGTTGATTATGCGTGGCTCCTGGCCAACATATTTCAAAATGTAGCCCCCCAGGATAGACTTGAATGCTGCTTGTACAGCGGGTTGCGCCAAGGGGACTTTGTGCTTTTCGAATGAACTGATCAGGCCGTGTAGTACAGGAATGTACAGTTGATCGTACTCCTGGGACGGGATGGCAGCTGTGTCCCTGACAAACAAGGCCAACAAGTTGCTCAATAGTCCCCCAAATTTGTACTCGTTCAAGCTGTCAATAAAAGCACTGAGCATTCCTGGATCCACGTATTCATTGGTTTCGGAGAATTCTGAAGCGTTTCCTCCCTGAGTACTCTTCTTGGATTTCGTCGGACCAGCGCTCATGGTCGACAGATTCATTGATAGGATAGTCCTATCGGCCAGAGCCTGATAGATGTCCAAGGCCTCGGCTCGCGGAACTTCTGTGCGCTTGATACCCCGGCGGAGTGATCTAAGGAATTCCAACATAAAGGCTGTGCTGTATGCGTATTTCTCTGGATTTGTCACAAGCCTGCATATGGTCAGCGAAGGTCCTAATATACGCAACTCTCACTGACGTACTTGTTCTTAATGAAGCCCAAGTCTTTATAAAACAATGCCATTTCGTAATACGTCTTCCCCTCTTCTTTACCTCCTCTGGTCTCGGCTTCAAGATGATGGAAAATCTCATAAACTGAAGAGGTAATGATAGACTCTAATTCTTCATTTATATGACTTGCTGTGCTCAGTTCTGTCAAGATCTCGTATTGTCTATAAATGCTTGTATTGTAGATCAGGGACAAGAAAAACCTAATGTGGTCAGCGACTTTCTGTTCTTGCAGCGTCAATTTCCTCCGAGGGGTACTTACTGGCCGTGAAATCTAGACCATTGCATTTGCTCTTGGTCGATATTGTTCGCAGCCCATATGAAGAATGAGGCAGGTTTTCGCACTGAGCTGTTTGTGATGACACGATGGCGTAAATCCTCAAGGCGGTGAATCATAATAACTTGGAACACTTGCATGGCAAGATCATCACACACCCTTTCCGTCCATCTGCACAAAGCCTCATGAAGGGCCCTCTTGAACGCCGCAAGGTGCCATGGTTTTGCCGAAGGTGAAAGACAATTCATTGTGTACCACTCCAGAAGTTTAGTAGACTTGTCCACCCGGTTGGCGCCATGACCGCCACCGGTAGATGACCACAGGTAATCAAACGTTGTTTTGGCAGGGACTATGACCAAAACCTGAGCACATGGTGGCGTTAGCATGACTGGTATTAATTGCTTTAAGCTCCCGAGGAAAGGAACTCTCACGTTTCAGTAATTTTTCCAGTAAAGAAGGCACGCAACCATGCTTGCTGGAGTTGGAGGAAAATCAAGCATTACGGTGCGGTATGGGCAAGAAAGGAAAGCGATAGTATACTTACAGGACGTCGGTGATAACTCGTAACGGTTGACTCACCCATGTAAACATACTCGTCTTCTAGGACTTCATCAGGCTCGCCTTCAAAACAAGTATCAACATTCTGCAGAATCTCTCCTTCAGAAGTCTTTGTGTCTGTTACAAGATGGTTGCCAGAGACGATGTCGAAGACCCGCTCCAGATCATAGTCAGCATCTTCTGCTTCATCCTTGTCAGGGCTCCCGAGCTTCGGATGCGGCTCTTCCTCCGATTGCTCCTCGTCATTGTCTTCATCTTCATCTTCATCTTCATCATAGTAGCCGCGGCCATAACTGCCGTAGGGATCGTTTGGGTCGTCCTCGGAATCACGCCTGGTTTCTTTTACCAGAGTCGCGAGAAAGAGATCCACCTCAAGGTCCTCGCAGATGCTCATCATTCTCCTGGTAATTGTTTGTGCTCGTCCTTGAAGTAAACTCAGAGACAGGGGGCCATCCAAGGGCTCATCCGCCAGCACATAGTGAAAAGCCCGTGATTGCAAAGAGGGAGCCTCCGCCACCGAAAGCCAAGCCTTCAGGAGGTTGACGATGGCAGCATTCTGGTCTTCCTCCGAGGGAGGGCCCGTGCCAGATTGATCGGTAGCGTTTTGGGGCTCTATGTTATCGAGAGCCTCGAGCAATAGCGGCTTTATTGACTCGTGTGATACGACGCCTGGAGGGGCAGCCATGCTCGTTGCAGACAGACACAAGCCAAGGCTCGCACTTTTTCCGATACGGATCCGCAATCACCGCCCAAACAACATACAAATGTCCCGTGAAAGTAGTATCAAAATTGATGATTGAATATTCACACAATCCAGTCAGGCGTCAGAACGACCCAAGTCAGTGGCCACGGCCAAAATTGGTCAAGGACGTATAGTTGAAATAGTGCCAAAGCCGGGACGCGAGGCGGGCCGCACGCGACTAATAGCGAAAACGCGTCGAAACTACAAAAGGGCGAGTGGGTCCACAAACTTAATATAATTGCTTTTGCTGATCGGCTACCAGATATTAGACCAGACTGGACAAAAGAAAATACGAATTTCATTGTCAATCTACAGGCGCAAAACACATCAATCAAGGTTTTGCATTGATTTGCCAACGAATTATCCGCAATGAATATGCTCAAATACCGTTGGCTCCAGGCTTGAGCAGCAGGGATAGTTGGCATACGTTCTACATGAATGGTCAGAAAAAGCATTAGTCGATATTGACTTCATTGCACGTCTATCGATGTCGGGACTCAGATTATGCTATGCGACGTCTCGTTGCTTCGTAGTAGCTGAAACTATGCTACTTGCTACAATGGACTTTTATGAATACAAAACCAAAATGAATGCAGGCACCCCAACTCCGATGGACTCATTGTCGTTGCGAATCTCTACTGCTTGTCACGCAGGTGACGAGGCACCCACTTGCCAGGAGCACCGGATGCCTTCAAGGTCTCGGCGGGAGGAGCGTCACCACGCTCAGCACCACGTTCAGCACCGCGATCGGCACCGCGCTCTGGCGGTCCACGACCAGAGGCACTGCGGACCGGCGGTGCTGCACCACCACCAGCGGTGCCCTTTGCAGCTTCGCGGTCTCTCCAAGAGGAGCCACCGCTCTTACCGACAAGGTTGAGGCGTGGCGGGCCACCGGCAGAGCGCTCGTTCGAGTCCGTGCGCTCGGCGGGTGGTGCTGGGCGCGGGGCACTGGCCGCAGCGGGCTCGTCACCACCAGCGCCACGAACAGCCTCACGCTCTCTCCACTTGCCAGCACCAGGCAGGTTGAGGCGGGGGCGACCCTCGCTGGAGTCTGTCTGGGGCGGGGGAGCCTCCCGGCGGGGACCAGAGACGGCAGCAGCCTTCTCTGCAGCTCTCCTTGCCATGGCCTCCTCTTCTCTGCGGGCCTGCATGGCGGCCTTCTCCAGACCTTCTTGTCTCTCCTTCTCGCGCTGCTCCTTGATCTTGGCGAGCTCAGCACGCTTGAGTTCTGCCAATCTCTCCCTCTCGGCCTTCTCTCTCTCTGCACGCTCTTCAGCCTCGCGAAGGGCGCGCTCTTGCTCCTCACGCTCGCGCTTCTCACGCAGCTTGCGCTCACGGTATTCCTTCTTGCGAGCAGCAACCTGGCGCTCGAACTCCTTCTGTGCATCACGCTGGCGAGCTTCAAACTCATCACGACGGCGCTCCTTGAGAGACTTGGTGAAAGTCTCATAGTGCGGCACAAGGCGCTCAAGTCTGTGCTTGAGCTCAACGTTAGCCTTGTGCTGGGCCTTGGACTCGGCAAGAGTCTCGGCCTTGCTCTTCTCGTAAGCAGCGAGATCGTGTTCGCGCTGCTTCTCGTAGTCTTGAGGGAGCTTCTTAGCCTCCTCCTTACGGAAGGCTCGTTCAAGATGGTCAATACGCTTGCCAGTGATGCGGAGCTTCTCGTTGACATCGTTCTTCTCACGTTCAAGCTGTTGCAGCTTGAGGGCACGCAGACGGTTCGAGTCGAAGTCATCGAGGTTCTCAACATCAATGTCGATGGCGTTGGGACCAATCTTCAGATCTGCGATCTGCTTCTTGAGCTCCTCCTTGCGGACACGATCTCTCTCGTCCTTGAGACGCTTCTCCTCACGTTCCTTCTGCTCCTGCGCCAATCTCTTCTCTTCGGCTTCAGCCAAAAGCTGCTCCTGGCGGCGCTTCTGCAGAGCTCTCTCCTTCTCTCTCTTGGCGTGGAGTTCCGAGGCTTCCTCCTTGCGCTTCTGGATAATCTCCTTGCGAGCCATGATGGCACGGTTCTCCTCCTCGGCACCAGCCTTGGCCCTTGCAAGGGCTGCCTGGTGTGCCTTGATACGAGCCTCATTGTAGGTGGGGTCAATGAAGAAGCATGTCGTGTGCAGAGTCTTGGCCAGACGCGTCAGCTGGCTTCGGACAATCTCCGAGGGAGTGCTCTGAAGACGCTGAACGGCACCAGTCTCGCTTTCGGCAGAGCCAGCAGCAGAGCCAGCGTGAACAGCCTTGGAGGAGGCAAAGACATCCGAATCGAAGCTGAGCACACCGGTAGCGTGATCCATGCGGATTGACAGGTCACCCTTCTTGTTTCCGTTCATGATGAACTTCTCGATGGTACCACGGCTGATCTGGTAGGGCTCAGGGAACTGTGCTAGGCCCTCGACAAACTTGAGGTCGACAGTCTCGTACACCTGGGACAGCTGCTGGAACAGTCGGGTGAGGATGACTTGCTGCAAAGGCAGAATGTACTTCTCCATCTCGGGATCGGCACCAATCTTGGTCAGAATAGGCGAAATCTTCTGGCAGATGGAGAGAGGGTGGAAGTCAACCTCGAGAATGTTGTAGAGATCCCGAATCTCAGGACGAGCACGCTGGAGAAGAGACTTGGACAGCGCGTCCTTGAATAGAACAGCTCGGGTTGGGGCAGTGTTCATGCCAAGCAGGTGAGTCAGGCGAGAGTTCTTATTCTTCTTGGCCTCGTCAAAGTCTACCATGGCGCCGCGAGAACGCGAGGTGCTAATGACGGGAATTGCCAAGGCAGAGAGCAGCACGAAGGAAGCGGCCTTTTGAAGGTCTGCATCACTAGCAGCGGGGTTGTCGGACTTCTTGCCCTGGCCGGCGGCCACGATGGCAGTGGATTGGCGGAGCAGGTTGTAGTATCTGGACCAGGCGGCAGCGTGGAAAAGGTAGTTCTCGCCAACGAGGAAGATACGGGTGAGCTTCTCGTAGTAGTTGGCCATCATGACGTTCTTGGGAGGGCGCTTGCTGAGGTTCAGCAGAGTGTGAATATCCTCGACACTGCGGAAAGCCTCCTGCCAAAGCTCGAGCTCGACGGCGACATTGAGTTGCTGGAAGCGAGTCTCCAAGTGACGCTGCAGGGTGTCGGGGTCGTTCAGGTTGATAGCGTGCACTTGCGACGAATACTTGGCGGCAGTCTGGACGTGGTTGCGGAGAAGCTCGCAGAGTCTTCGGAACTCGGTCTTGCGGGCATGCTTCAGACAAAAGTCGAAGGCCTGGGTGGCAGTGCTCTGGTAGAGAATCTCGAGACGTGCATTGTTGCGAAGAATGTCGAGAACAGTACGGTAAGCCTCCCACAGGAACTTGAGCCAAGGCGTAATGACGGCGCGGTCAGTGCGGTCCTTGGACTGCTCGCTCGAAACGGTTGCCAACAGGATAGACTCGGGGGTCTCACTGGCCTCGAGATCCTCGACACTGGTGGTGGTGGTTGCCTCCAGGGAAGACTGGATCTCATCGGCCTTGGTCTGGGCGACAGCAACCTTCTCGGCGGCCAGCTCGATGAACTTCTTCAACACAAGCTCGATGGTGCCGACGTTGGTGTTCTGGGCGATGTTCTTGTACGAGTAGAGAGCATCCTTGGCGAGCTTTCCCTTCTTGTGCTCAACGGAGAGCTCAACCAACAGGAGCACGACGGGCTCGAGGGAAGCAATCGGGACATTGCGAGAGCGCTTGGATGTGACGTGTTCATGGAGCAGGTTCAGGGCAGTAGGCGCCTGACCGACGCCGATGAGCTCCTGAGCGCGCTTCAGGACATTTTCGGGCTTTTGATGAGGAGGCGGCGGCTAAGTGACAGTGTTAGTAGAGCAACTTGTTGTCTGAGGTTGGGTTCAAGGCGCGACGAGAACGCGTGGTAAAGGTCGTATGGTGGTGCATGTATTATGTGAGGGGTATGGTAAATGCCCCCCAAGGAAAGTTCGGAGAGATTATCTATTCTAGGCAGTGACGTACCATGATGGGCGACTCCTACTGCTCAAGAGCAGATTTGGGTGCGATACGGAAAAAAAGAGGTTGATGGGCAGTCCGTCGCGATAAAATGCCTGTGGCTGATGGACGTGACTTTGGCCCCGCGGGTGATGTAAATTTCGTTGTTGCCAACAACGGACCCGGGCAATGAGGATAAGGGCAAGGCTCTGCTGGGAAAGAGATTTTGCGATGGATTTCCAGAACGTGTGGGTTGGACTTGGCTGGTTGGACACCAAGCTGCGAGGGGCTAACCCGAGCTTATTCCGATCAGGTGACCACACTTTTGGCGACAGCTGCGGCAGTGGGCTATTATGGAACTAATAAAGGCAGCACTGAATGGTGCTCTGACTTTCAAATGCAGGCAGTAATTATTGAATTATCTTCATATTGGTTGACATTTGCTGCAATGAATTGCTACTCAAGAAGTTCTTATACGTTACAATACCATCATATACTTTTACTCCCTCGGTCCTGCTTGATTTGAGTTTCCTTCCATAATAATGTGCTGCGAATTAACGTGTGCAAAGTACAAGCCAGCTATTAAACGAGGGGTTCATTGAAGCAGAGTCATATCGATATCTGCAAGCCTGAATAAAATAGCTTCCTTCTGTCCATCGAGCCTGGCTCGTATCACATCTCACAGTGGTCGACACCCGTCATTCAAATCATGGTCATACACTACCAGCCAGTGCAATCATGGTTATGATGGTGCTGTGCAGTGGAGGTCTGAGATTTTGCTGCCACATACTGTGCAAGTTCCAAGCAAAAGGTCGTTCATCGGTCACTATTGGTAGACGATAACTAGAACTGCACAATCACTACAAGTGCTTCGTATAAGAGCTTTTCTGAACGAGTCACCGCCGCAGTTTTATAGTCGGTGAGGTGCGTAGTTCAGTAACGTGCATTAGATCCAACGACATCACCAGTCCAACCTTGGAGCTCTCATCCTCATAGGTCAGATACCACTGAATATGGAAAGTCATATGCAGTAGTGGTTGTGTGGTCCCAAAAGATTCGGCGGAGGCGCATCAATTGGCGTTTTGTCATGATTACGGCGTTGCAACGTTCTACTGTGTATGCAGGAGCGCTCATCACGATGACAATTGATCTCAAGTGTTGCAAATAGCAGCCCCTCGGAGCCGCTTCCGCATCACCCGAGAAACCAGGTTAGCGGAGCCGGCCAAAGAAAAAAAAAAGTAATCTCACTACCAAGATACCCGACTCTTTAGACTCTTTAGAATCTCGGCGGGCATCATGCTCATGACCATTGTCTAGTAAGAAAAATCGAGACATCAACCCAATGCTTTCTTTTTCTTCCCAAAGAAAGACACTGTAGGGATCAGTCAGCCCGAGCCTCTGGTGCTACGTACGACACACAACGGGATGTGCGACATTGGCGCAAGAGATTGGTTGATTTGTCCTACTGAGGGTGTCGCGAGGATGAGGGATACTTATATGAGCTATATTTGCCCCGCTATGATTGGCAACATTCAACCCCGGTCCGTGCTTCAGGTTGTTCCCCCCTACCCACATACCAAGGAGGGAGGGCGGTTTGACAGGGAGTCTGGACCTTTGACTGGACGTTTCGCTGGGTCCTATGTATGTATCTCCAATGCTGCGCTGCTTTTTTTGGTCAACGGTTGACGAACTTGTTTCTCATTTCGCAATTGCATTCAATGCCTGCGGGGGGAGCAGTGGCAGTGGGGCCGAGACGGACGAGCGCCGCTGATACAAAGCAACGTATGTAGGATACAGTACGTACGTCCAGTATGTCGTATGGCTTGATGATGACGCGGGATACTGAGAAACGGTTGCAGAAGTCATCAGATGATTTGGCAGGTGTTTTTATTCGTTCGTGTTCCCGCGCAAACATTTTCGAAGAAAGAAGCCGCGGATATTTGATATTTGGTATTTGGCCGTCTCCTGACTGGCTTGATTATTAGTATTATTATTATTATTAGTGACTGGCCGGAACCAGCACTTTTCTTACCCAGTCCAACTCGAGATGCTGGGTCCACTACGTACTGTGTTTGCAAAAACTAGAGCAAAGCTATTGCGCAATACAATAAATTAGACAGTCGAAGACAGTGCGGACGGGGCTTGACGGGTAATGAAAGAAGCAATTAGCGACAGCTTCGTGATCCCCGCCGTCCCCAGCGCTGGCAGGGAGCTAGGCAGCTGCTAGGCTCTTGGTAGCTAGCAGCCAGTTGCAAAGGCTTTCCCAGATCATCTGCGCCGGGCAAAACCAAGAGGGTCCCTCAAAAAGCTAATTTCCCGTCTCCCACCTTGGACAGCCCGCACTGGGCACTCGCTGCCCATTTTTTTGCCCTCTCGAGGCTCTCCGTCCTCTGCTCTCCGTTGCCCCCCCAGTCAAGCGGCTTGCCGGGGGGGGCCACCAAGTACCTAATCCACTGGGGAGCAATGTAGGCTAGAGCCTGTTCAAGCAAAAAAGAGAGTGAAAGTGACACTGGTGATCGAGACGGGAGTGAGTGAATGGCAGGGCCCGAGATTTCGCTCTCCCTCTGCCTCCTCCTTCTCCCCCCCAAACTCATGCTTGCTTGGCCTTTTTACCCACCCCCTGACCCTTACCCGGCCGGCCACTTAGATTTGATCGACTCTTTCCAACCTGTGCTACTAAACCATCAGTCTCTCTTTCAACCTTTCCCCCCGTCACTCCTCTCTGGCGATTTTCAATTGATGCTGTTTTCTTGATATCGACCGCCGCTCCCTTGCGATACACGAACCAACCCGCATCATCGCCCAACCATCATCGCAGTCGTCCTCGTCGCCTGCAATCCATAATTTGACAGGACCTTTTTTGTCGCGTTTGGTGAGTAGTTCTCCTGTGCATCCGCCAGCGATCACCTTCTCCCGCTGCCATCTACGATTGCAACGACACGCCTCCCCCAAACCAAAAAAAAAAATAAAAAGCCAGCCAACCGCCTTCAACCCCCTTCCCTGTCCAACATTAAAAAAAAAAAAAAAAGGACGGGCCGCCCAGCGAACGAATTGATTTGGTTCAACCGCAAATTGTGCTTCCAGGCACGAACGACGCTTGATTTGCTTCGCTCGGTATGGTGGTTTTCTGGTCCGAGGGGAGCCTGTCGCACATGCGGGACCGAAAGGGGGAGGGAGGGATGTGATTAGCAACACTTCCAGCACTCTGGCCCTGGTCGGACATGGCATCCTCATGCACAACTACTACACCATATTTTGCTGCTGTGTTCATGATATACTGACCAGAGAATGTCTTCAGTCCAGGAACAGACTGCAAGGAGTAGCCTGCCGTCAGTCGTGCTAGCTGGTCCGAGCTCTCCGATCGCGTCTTCGGCACCTCATTCATCCTCCCACGATACCCCTTTAGCAGACAAGAGCCGTCCGGCCTCTTCCACCAGCTCCGTCAAGATGCCTCAGTACACTTCGCGCGATGTCGGCGACCCGTCGCAGATCAAGAAGAACAAGCAGTCCATGGCTGATCTCAAGCTCCGCCGTCTGACGGAGTTGAACAACCGCCTGCGCGAGGATCTGGAGAGAGAGAGAATTCCCGTCTCTCAAGCTTCCAAGAGGTGAGACTTGATTTGCGGCAACGACAGGCAGCTCTTGCTTTCAAGAACCGAACTCACTGACATTTCATTTATAGCATCATCGCATACTGCAACAGCACAAGGGACTACATGGTGCCGTCGGTATGGGGCGCTGTGCCAAGGGGAGAGGACCCCTATGCGCCTCAGCAGAGCGGTGGCTGCTGTCTGGTCATGTAGTAGCATGCCTTTCGCGCAGCAACTCGCATAAACGGAGTAGGATGAAAAAGAGTACAGACATGTTAATAATTGGATTCGCGTCGCCTGGAGGGCAGGCATGCCATCTACCTGGTTTTTGATGGCGGGCTTGGTCGGCCCATTATCTCCCTCCCTATATCGAACGAACACCCCGTTCAGGGCGCAACAAAAAGGACTACGGACTGTTTAAAATCTTTTGAGAGGAACAGCAAGGAATACCCCCCAAACGTGAGAAGAAGGAATGGTGCACGAGGAGTTGGCACATTTTTACGATAATCGACGGTTGCATCTCACCAGATATCTCTCTTTTTTGCTACGACAAGGGAATCTGGGCAAGGCTGGCGAGCAAACCAGCAAATCACCGCTGCCACGCTACATACACAACAACAGGCAGGACAGTGTGAGGGTGGTTGGAGATGTGGGCTTGTCGGCATGTAATAATTCTTTACGAATGTATTTTCTCTTTGTTTTCGTGTTTTATTTTTCGTTTTTCCTATAGCATTACATGATGACATTGCGACCATGGAACAGAGTTTATGTCCTTTGCATTCATCTCATAAATATTTTCAGCACTGATACCAGTTCCATGGAATACTTGAACACGATAGTAACAAAAATTAGTGGTGATATATCGTGCAGCGGTAGTAGCATTTTCCACCAATGCAACCAAGTGAATCGCATTCAGGGCTGATAGGAGATTCTCGTCCCCGCTCTGACATGCATTCAAGCTCAGGATTGACTCGATGCAAAGTTGTTCTTACTGACTAGGTGGGTAGGTAAAAGATAGATAAGAGACACGTACCGGCACCCGGCTCTCGTCTGTTGTAGTAGTGCTCTTGACATGGCAACCCACCGCACATTTTATATGCATCAACCCTTGCGCAGATCTACATTCTCCATCCGTGCGAGGATGCGGTGAAAAAAAGGTGCACATCTCCCGCGCGACCGTTTGACTTTCCATCACATACAAGAGTCTGCACAGCCGATGGATTATACTAGCAAGGAGATCAAGCTGCTTCATCACCTCACGTTATCAAAAAAGATGCCCGAGGTCAAGGAGAGTTTACATTTGTCTAAACACCCCCCAAGATCCGAGTCAGTCTTTTGCGCCCTGTCCTAAAAAGGAGAGAAACTATGTTGCCCGTCAAAGTCAAGTAAGCATTCTTGTTTGGGTCGAAGGCACCAAGGTTCAGCCCCCTTTTTTTTGGTCTGACTAGCTGGGGAGAAAGGCCAAAAAGGACTGGATGGAAAGGATTCCGAATCAGATGCGACATGTCAAATGGGGTGGAGGAGGCGAATAATCATGAAAATTGACATGATGGGATAGGACACATTTTGTCCTTTTGTCGCCAGTAAGATAGTAAGCCCAACGCGCAGGAGAAAGAAAGAGGAAGAGGGAATCTTGGCGGGGGCAGGCGAGCTCGGCAGCCGATCTTGGCGTTTCTTCTGTCTGTCTGTAATGTATTCTTTGTATGGGATGATGGGGGGATGAGGAGCAGACACAGCAAAGAAAAAAAAGAGAGCAACAGTGTTCCCCCCCCTCCCTTCCCCTCCATGTACCTTGCCTTAGTTTACATGACATCTACTAACCATTCCTAATCACCCAGTTGGTGAACCATCTCGAACGGGGTTGGTACGATACATTAATGGAAGCCCGGATGACCTATTCGAGTGAAAGTACGAGTCGCGTTGCTTGGCCCCTCGAACCCGAATGGACGCGTGTAAAAAAAAAAAAAAAAAAAAAAGTCTGGGTTTTGATTTTGGGATCCATTTACTTCAGAACGACCTGAAATTAGAATTTCTGGGCACAGACAGAGTCTTGACAGGCTGACTATCGTGACCAAGGTCCATAGGGCGAGAGCGGGACGCCAGTCAAAGGCATTGCTGGTAAGCAACACTTGGGGATCGTCCTTCTTTCTAATGAAAACCCGAACCATGGGCTGTGGGAATGCATGACATGTTGATAGATGTAGTACAATTCACATGCTCAACAACAACTCGCACCAGGTAATGCTCATTTTTATACTCTATTCGGTAAATGGCACCAGACCCTTCGATTAGATACCTAGGTATCTCAACTCTTTCCGCCAAACAGTTACAAGTGTAGCACTGGTAAAAGAGCATGCAGCTTCATAGCCCCGGGAGCTCGGAAGCTGTCAGAAATCCATCTCTGCCTGGGCAGGGCAAAGTAGATAGTGAGAGCTCTCAAGTAGCGATGGGCGTAGGATTGGTGGCTTTCAGAGGCCGAATTCGTAACGGTACCCAAGGTAATGTAAGGTAAGGTAAGCAGGAAATAGACGTCAGCGGGGCAAAATGCTGTCACTCCCCCCCGGTCTCACTCACACTCCACTAAACCTCCGGCCGATTGATTACACACAGCCCAGCCTACCAGCCTTGCGTGTCCAGCATCTCCATCTAGCGCCCGAGGCGAAGCTTTTTCCCCTTGTCCTTCCGAGACATTTACATGTTGATATTGAAAAAAAGAATACCCCGGGGATAAGGGCCAAATAAGGAAATATCAAAGAGTATTCCAACTACCAGAGAAATATCAAAATCAGTCGCGATTCCCTCCCTCCAATCCAATGGCTGAAGCTGTGCCTTTGCATCAACCGCAAGAGGTTGCCTCCTCCATCGTGGCGACCGGCACCGAAGACCCCGCGTTTCCCTTTCCGCTGCCGCGCGTGACTATACGCTTCTGTACGCAGTGTAAGTGGATGTTGAGAGCTGCATATGTAAGTTGGCCATGTTTTCAATTTCTCGACATTGTCATTTCTTTTATTTCCATCTTCAAACATTGGATATGCAAATTCAGACCATTTGTTTATTTTCCTGATCCTTTTGACTGATTTTCACATCCTGTACCTCTCCTCCCCCCCTGCCACGATCCTAGTATAGAATCATCCCCAAAGTACTTTAGGCATAAGCCAGACTGACATCATACCCTTTTTCTTTTCCCCCCAAGAACAGTTTGCTCAAGAACTCCTTTCGACCTTTTCAACTTCGCTAGGAGAGGTGGCACTACAACCATCAACGGGCGGGACGTTTGTAGTGACGATTCAACACAACTCGCCGCCTTCTTCCCCGTCGGAAGCTTCCACGCTACAGACGCACGTGCTCTGGGATCGCAAGACGGACGGCGGCTTCCCCGAGACCAAGGAGCTCAAGCGCCGCGTCCGCGACGTGATTGAACCGGGCCGGAACCTAGGACACGTGGATCGGGATCATCAGCGTCCTATACCTGCTGCTGCTGCTGCTGCTGCTACTGGCACTGCCGTTGATACCACAATCATGACGGATCAACAGCAGGGAAGTGATACAACGGGGGCGCCACCACCACCGCCGGGTCCTCGCTGGCCGACTTCGGATTCCGCACAGCAGCCGCAAAGTGGCGCGCATAATCCGGATCCCATCCGCAGAGGTCACTCACGGCCCATGATCCCGGCAGATGAGCCGGCAACAGGGACGGCGCAGGCCGGAGCTGGTGGCGGTGGTGGCGGTGGTGACAGCGACGAGTATCAGCCCAAGATGCCGCGCGGCGGCGTCAAGCCAGTCGTCAAGCCTCCGGGCGAGGCAAGGAACGCCGAGGTTCGCGCCAAGCTGGAGAAGACGCCCCAAGAGGACGAGGGTAGTGGCCAGGCGCAATGTGAGGACTGCCAGTAGTTGGTTTGGACGAACAGTATGGAAACTTTTTCTCAATTGTCTTTGAATGCTGTTTCATGAGCAAGCCTCTGCCGCTATATGGTCCTACTTGTTTCGTTATTTTTCATGGCTCGGGGCGTCGAGGTCAAGGTGATGAGGCCGTCGAGGACAATATTGGCGACATGGTAGTTGTATGCCGACCATATGTGATATAATATATCTAAGCATTACGTAAAAATACATATCCCCTACACAATCAATCGACACATTGCCATCATCCATAACAACAAATTCATACACTTCTCTGATATGATGCTGCTGCCGTCTCATTGCAGACGTTTCAGCTAGTGTTACAAGAAAAGATTCTCAGTGTCTGGACGAAGGCATTGGTGTAGGGTATGATGAATGTGGCATAGCCTGCTGCAATTCATTACAAACAGAGAGTCCATCTTCCATGGCGCAGTGAAGTTTGTTCCAGTAAGTGTAGAGACGGAAATATATGTACATGGATTAGTCAGTGCACTTACAGTACCGCCAAGCGATTCGAACTCTAGCAGTTTGTTTACCAGGGTATCGTGGCTCCAGCCAGAGTCAGGTCAAAACATCAATCCGGTGTCTAGTGTACCATGTCGAAAAGAAGTCCTGCTATACTGGCGCCAGGTATAAATGACAGCAATATTCTTGCAAACGATACTGCAAGTCAATATCGTCATCCACTCATCGAAACGGAACAAACATGGACACGGCAATGACTAGCCATAACCACAGAGTCGCAGCAAATAGCAGCTTCGGGGTCTCAGAGAAGATTGTCCGCTGTGTGAGCCCAGAGTGGGCAAATCAAAATTAACTGTCTACGCCTCCCCTATTGGTCCCTACTCATGCATGCAAAGCCACATGAGCTCAGAGGCACATCGTCATGAACCATTCCAAATATGAAAAAACTGATTTTATTTCTTTCCGCATAAGAACAACATTTCCATCGTCAGTCGACCGTAAAACTTCGTTCATGAGGGCGTTGTTCGGTGGAGTGGGAGGCGAGAGAAAGGCTGTCGTCGGATATTGACTCGTTCTCGAAATCGTTCGGGAGGACGGAGCAAGCTTCCAATAGTTCGAGAACTACAAGGCCGCCAATGCTGGGTGGGGGATCCCAAGTCGAGTGTTGCTTATCGACGACCGAACCTAAATTAGACGCAGGAAGCTCGTACATAATTCTTTCACTTTCAAGGTTTGGATTGCTTTCTGGGGGTTGCGGAGCCGTTGGCTGCAAGGCCGCGACGAACGTACTTTTGCTTCTTCTCAGCTGGTTTGAGGATCTAAACAGAGGACAAGAGTCAGCACCAAGTTGCTAATTGCGCAACAGGTATTGCAAATGGCACGGGAATGACAAACCTGGAAGGAACAGAGTAAGCTCTCGTCGACACTCATCATGGCGCCGGCATTGTCGAATTCGCCGCAGTAGTTGGGAGCGCTGAAGAGGGTAACCAGCTGTCGCTTGGAGAAGAACTCGTATCCATCCTCGACTACCTGGTGAGCACGGCAGATCAGGTCCATGTCGTGCTTCTGCAGGAACCGTGAGACGACATCGGGTCCAAAGGTGAATGATACACCACGGTCGTTCTCAGACCAGCCAGTAATGTCCTTGTCAGGATCGGACCACAGGAGATCACAGAGCAATCCGCAATCCGGGATCTAAACGAGTCATGTCAGTGCCTTGTCGCACCCCACAGCCGTTGCCAGCAAACTGGTAACATCCGAAAACCAGGCAGGAAAACAGAAACGAACATGGAAATTACTTACATCGGTAGGACGCATGACGCGGCGAATCTGCTCCATAGAGTTCAGATCCGGACTCAGACCACCGTGCATGGTGAAGATCTTCTCGTCAATAATGGCGGCAATGGGCAGGCAGTTGAAGCAGTCGGTGAAAGTCTTCCACAGCTTAATGTTGTAACGACGCTTGCACTCATCGTAGAAGCCGTAGATACGGTTGATAGAAGCACACTCGTGGTTTCCACGCAGAACGAAAAAGTTCTCGGGGTACTTGATCTTGTAGGCTAATAGCAGGCAGATTGTCTCGAGAGATTGCTTGCCACGGTCGACGTAGTCACCAAGGAAGAGGTAGTTGGCCTCAGGAGGGAAGCCTCCATACTCGAATAGTCGCAAAAGATCGTAGTACTGGCCGTGGATATCACCACAGATCTAGGCAGGAAATTAGCGTCAATTTCATGAAACATTTACCCGTTTCCAACACTTCAGCTCCGGGGTTTCTCAACATACCTTGATGGGAGCCTCCAGCTCAAGCAGAATAGGCTGGCTAATGAAGATCTCTCTGGCCTTTGTGCACAAGTACCTGATTTCCGTCTCTAGCAGCTGGACCTGCTTACCCGGGCGGCTGCCACGGACCTCCAGGAGACGATCGATGATGGAGTCCAGATCAACATCGTGTTGGTCTGCCATCTTTTATTCCGCACCTGCCTGTGAAACGGCCTTCGAAATTCTGTGTTGGGAGAGACCGAGCAGGAGGAGGGGGGGTGGGGGGTAGGTCGCCGCGTGGAATCTGCGAAGGAGCCCAATCAAGGATATGATACACCTCGAAAGACTATTGAAGAGAAAAAAAAGTCAGTACTTTGGGGGTTTAAAATCTTTGTGTTGTTTGGACTTCTCAGGCAGCCAAAAAACCAAAAGTGTAGACAAGGCCATTCTTGTTGCTTCTCGAGGACATGAACGACCATGGTCGTCAATGTCAAGCTGATTATGCAGGAGAAGCCAACACGAATGGGGAATGTGAGCAGTGGAGGCGTCCGAGGCACCTTTTCACACCAGCAAAAGAAGAATGCGGCGACAAAAACATTTAATGTGCGGGATGAAAGAAGTGTAGACTCACATTGAAGTGATCTCAGCAGTGGTGAAGCTTCGGCGAGAAGCGTACGCGTGACTCTGTGGCCTTGCGCAGTATCGGGTGGTGACTTAGCAAGTCGAGAAATGAATGTAATCACGTCTGGACGATACCGGATGAAAATTTCGTCTCCGCAGATTCTTGGACGACGGACGAAGGTCGAACCAAAATGGGTCGATGACTGACGCCGGGGTGAGAAAGAGTAGAAATCTCGAGTTGGTCGAGTAAACACCAAGGCCGGTCGGGAGACGCGGGGGGGCAGGATGGAGTGTTGATGATTTTTTCTGCAGCGACAGTCGTGACCAGTCGCGCTCGTCGAAGAATGACAAAAAAAGGTACCGTCAAAAAGAATCGAGTTCTTGGACTCGATGATTCGCCTAAAAAGTAGCAAAAAGCTGTTTTCGCGTGGTGGTTACAGTCGATATGAATGTAGCAAGGCAAATTGATTGCTGAGGCGACGATGGTCTTTTTTCGGGGCAGGAAAATTCCAGAGAAAGATTCCCGGGTCGTCTGGGTTGGAGTCTGGTCTCTGTGTCTGCTCTGGTCTCTTCGGGGGTGGGTGTGGTGCAAAAGCTGCACTGCGCACCAGCCAAGGGGGGGGTGTAGAGGTAGTACTATGTAGAGGTCAGGTCAAGTAGTACCTTGAAAAATTAGAGGCAGTTTGGCAGTGCGGATGGGTGGTGCTTGGCTCTGTCTCTCCGCTGCTGTTTTGCAGTGCACTGAATGAAGGCACCGAGCCAGCAGCACGGTGGGCAGCGAGCGACAAAGAGTGGGCAACCTTGAACGGGGCGGCGGCGGCGGCGCTGTTGTTGTGGTAGAAACGCGCACTATCTTTTGCCTTCTAGTTTACTAGCTCCCGGGGCAGGTCAGAAGTGGACCTCCTTTTTTTTTTCTCCCTCTCTTTGGGCTTTGGGCTTGTCCCAGGTTTCAAAGGCAGGGGGGAAAGCCAGGCAGTCTCTCAGGTCACAGGAACACATACACACACAATGAGGAATGGGTTTTGGGGGGCACAGTCTTGTTGGTCGTTGATCTGAAGTCAAATTTCACTGTTCGGGTATGGGAAATCCGTCTTCTGCACAGCTGGGTAATGGACAAGTAAAAATAATTATGGGGGTCTCGTCATGTCGGCCTTTGATCGTCGTCGATGGGAGAGAGGGAGAAAAAAAATAATACTCACTGGCTTGCAGGCAGAATGGGGTTCGCGGGGTTCTTTTTCGGATTGGACGTGTTTTGGGGGTGGGAGACAGAAAAAGGGTCAAGGGTGGGTGGTTACCCGTGTCGAGACGTCAGAAAATTGTCGGGTCTCACTCTGCACTCAGCTCAATGTGTCCAAGGTCCAGGCACAAGTCGATAGACAGAGGAACAATCCACCTCTTTGTTTGTTGCTCCACGCATTGCTATTTTTCCTTTTGCACCTACTTTTACCGTTTGCTTTTCTTCTTTCTCTGGGACGTCTGTTACAACAGCTTGTCGAATCCTTCCTGTGCTATTCCGTAATCTTGCCGGTGATCTACAGTACCTACCTACCTGCTTGCCTCCCTGGTCCCATCCTCATGCCGCCACGGTACTGACTGGACGATACTCTACATTTAGATACTACAGTGTACTGTGCCTTGTGTGTATCCGTCCCACTGTTTGGGCTGTTGGGTTTCTGGTAGACAAGGGCAGTGAAATATGGTGGGTTTCAAGATTCCGATTGGCGCTCTGAGGCAGTGCAAGCAAGAAAAGCTGAAGCCAGCTCAATGCTAATTATGTAGGTTACATGGGTAAATTACCATAGCTTCTGGCAGTCAGTAGCTGGTCGAGTGTCCTTACTCATGAATGATATTTGAATATCTCTACAGTTCAGCTTATTACTCAGAATCAAATGCCGCCTCATTTAACCCCGGATTCAACAGTGCCGTATACGTGCAGCAATGATGATGATGCCTTGTGATATGGATATGCTGCCTATTCATAGACACATCGCAGCCTGTGGTCAGCCAGCCAAAGTACTTGGAATAAGCGGGCACATTGGTGCGTGGAGGTGTATTCACAGGAACTTCCACAGAATGACCGCTCCTTGCATGCAGACCGCCCGTAAAATAACTGTCACAACTACTCGGTTGGCTTGGATTCGCCTCTAGTCTCGGTGCTATCGCAGTCTTCTGCCCTTTGTACAAAGCAGTAGAAGCTTCATGTTGCATCTTGCCTCCTGCAGGTCGTCTTGCACACGCGCCCGGGTACGCACCGAGGTCAAGCTTCTGTCCATTCATATTTCTGACAAGGGGACAAGGACATGTAATCATGGTTGGCCGACAGCCTTGATACGCCCAAGGTGAGGGCGGGTGATGAGTTGAGCGTGTGCCTATCAGGGCTTGCTCCTCATCCCGCTTTCTTTCAATGCAATTCAACAGAGCGGGCAGAATGCCATGATACAGGACACCAACATCGGACAGACTGACTTGGTTTCAAGTGCTGCCAGGGTCCAGATATCCTTGGGCGCTTGCTTGCAGGCCCTTTTTACTGTACGTAATCCTAGAACCAGAACCATAATGTAGCTACAGGGAGCAACTGTTGTGTATAATAAATAAGGTAGCCGCCTTGATATTACAAGACCATTACTTGACCTGACCGAGAATAGATCCTTGCTCTGATTACTACTACTACTTCTACTTCGGGTCTTGTCCCAGCCCAATCCAGTCCAAGCTTCTTTTCGATTTGGCTGTCTGTAATCTCGAGATCAATTAGCAACTCTGCTTTGGTTTTATTTCCTTCCCAGAGCTCAGAGCAGCGATATCTCTTTTCACATGGCGCCGCATCCCCCCCTTCTTTGGGAACAAGAGGAGGAGGAGGAGCGATCTTCAGACTTCCGCAATCTCCTGAAGCTAATTGAGCCGGCACACAGATCCCCAAGCCAACTCTCGCATCCTGCTAATGTACGCAAGTCCACTTGGCGTCGTGGTTCAGGTCCCTTGATTTGCCCGACGTCTGTTTTCCCTCTCGCACCGTCTAGCCAGAACTACAGACTGCAAACTGCAAATGCACTGATGCCAATGAGCAAAAAAAGAGCCGGCCTAAACTTTAGTGGGAGACACCAAAGCAAGCCCGTTTCTTTGCATTGGCCACTCACCTGGTTTCGCGTCTCCACACATGACAACATCGCCTAGGCGGGGTGATCGTTTTTTGTTGCATTTGTTGGATTTGAACGGACGACCAACCGACCGACTGACCGACCGCTGACCTAGAGTCCGACAGATGTGCTAGCTGGCAAAGTGCTGGCAGTGCTGGCAGTGGTGGACGGTCTGGCCTCTTTACAGATCCCCCAAATTGCCCCGCATCCCCTTCTTTTCCCTCTCTTTTCATACGTGGATCGGAGTCAAGTCGTCAGGGTTTTGAAGTGAAGATCAATTGATATAGCTACTGTATGGGGCCATGTAGTTCTCAAGCAAGCGATGTACGTATCTGACCAAACTCGTGTAGTCAGTAAAACCTACCTGGGTAGGTCCGTACAGGTAGTCGTAGTAGTATAGGCAGGTATTCCCCTCATTATGCGAACAACACGTCAAATTTTGGTGGAATACACACAGCCTCAGTCATAATCATCCGACTCTGTCTGTATTCGTACTGGTCATGCGTAACCCCCCAAAAGACGTAGCTCGTCCCCCCAACAGTTTCCATTCCGGACCCCTAACCCGCTCGATCGATGTCACCCAGGGATGGTAGCCGCATCCATCCCGTTGTCCACCCCGCGCAATACAACTAACCTGCACGCAGTCTACTATATCACCTGCTTATCAAACCCTCCCTAACCGAGCTCATCTACACGCTAGATGATATGCCTCTACGATGATCATCACGACACCTCGTTTATGTGCAGCAGTAGACTCTGTCGATCTCAACTCGCGCCATCATCCGAAATCAAGCTCTTGTCGTTTGTGCTGCCTAACAGCATTCACTACGTTCAAGTAGAGGAAAAAGCTGTTATTCACTATCAATGCTACAGCATTTCAAATTGCGTATATATAGAGAGAGAGAAAAGCAGACTTTCCTAGAGTCTCATACTTTATACATGTCACAATCTGATCGCCCAGCTGCTAAATAGTTCAATCGTCACCAAATACATAACAGTAAATTGCCCTGGTTTCTTTACCACTCCACCACCACCAAGAGTTGACAGCACATTTCTCTGCCCTTATTCGCCAGCGTATCATTCAAAGTACAAGGTCTTTTCCCATGCCCAGACAAGGGCTTCGGGCGGCGTCAATCATCCCCCGACCGCCAACGCCTCCGTGTCAACGGTCACCGGCTCCGGGACTTGTCGCTCTTGGCATATTTCTGAGCAGCCATTACCGCCCATTTTTCACTTTGTTTACAATATTCGCAGCGCAAAGATAAAACATGTTCATGTTGTTAATAAAATGATTCATACCTCTTATGAAGCCGGCAGCCATTGTTCAGTCTCTGCAAATTGAACAGAATCAAGCTTAGTCACCAAAGATGATGCCGCTCACGCTGAGAAGATTCTTATATGCGCATGCCCCCCTCTCTATCTTTCCCCCAGAGCCTTATATATATATATAACTCTTACCGTGGAAATTGGACTGTTGACGCAATGTGCATTTCTAATCATGTAAAACACTCATCTCCGAAATCCAGTATCGTAGCACACACACACATCACGTGGACGTATCTTCATGCAAAGGCCGCAGCACACATTTCGTAACCACCCACAGGATAGGGCGAAAACAAGAACCCTTTTTTTTGCCAACTCACACAATACACCACCCCTCCTTCCAAGTTTTGGTGCCAAAATTGATTAGGGTGTGTCTTTCCTTTGGGGGAGGGCAATTGGAGAAGAGGGATATCGTACAAGAAAGAATGCTGAGCCCGAAGCTTGCAGGTAGGGTTCTTCTTATTGGTTTGTGCTTCCCCCCTCCTTTTACATCAGACAAAACTCATTGGGCAGGTCTGGATTCTTGGGACAACTGCAAACATCCAGGAAGCTGAGATGTTGTTGTCAGCTTTGGGGAACCGGTGAGACTACAAGAGAGACTAGGCAGTTTCCATGGCAGCTTCTATCTCGGTCAGCATGTAAACTCTGGATGTCATCCCCTTGGGTAGTGAGCCATACCGCAAGGTGACGAGAATATCGGCCTCATCCCCTTTTCAGAGAGTTTCAACATGCATAGATCCACTGTTAATGCCATATCTCTCATGCTTCGTCTTTGCTTTCGCCTAGCGTGCATACTTCCCCTTTTAATGGTCTACTGCTTTTCATTTATTCACTCCTACAAGCTGGGCACTTATTGTAGACTTGGATGATTGTTGTCGTATTATAAGTATCAAGAAAACGCACGTTTTGAACCCGCAGCAAATAGGTCCCGTCTCAACAGGCCATTGGTTCCCCTTAAAACGCCAGCCTGAGGGGGTATGCAGGCAAAAATGTCAAAAAAGCCATTGTTTGTGTGCGCAAAACCCCTTCTGAACTCCATACTGCCTCTGAGGAAACCACGTTCTATGGCCCAGTACACGCTTGTAGGCTTCCCACTGGATAAAAATAAATCAAGACAAAAAAAGAAAGAAAGAAGAAAATCGGCTTGCAAAGATATTTATACAGACATCTCATCTCCGCCCTCGGTAAGTTGTCGGCTTCCTCTTTTTAGACTTGGCCGATTTCTTTGCGGACCCAAAGGCCGCTTGCTCGACATTCGAGGTACTAATCGGCGACACGGCCATGCTCGAAGTGCTGTGAAAGTCGACTCCGAGTCCCTTGAGTTCGTCCTCATCCATCTCTGTAAGCGCCTCGCTATGACTGCGCAGCAGCTCTTCGCCTGTATTGGGTTCGGCCACTGCAGAAGTGCCTATGGGATCGAACTCCTTCAGGTACCAAGGAACACCGCCATCTGTAAGAATATTGACTTGTTCCTGAGATAAGCTTCCGTTAGACTGCGGAGGAGTAGGCGGTCCTGGCAATGACGATGGCGCTGCAGCCACGTAGCCGTTTGTGGCGGGCGGCGTGTCAGGCGCATTGCCACTTGTCACGCCTTCTGACATGGCCTCGTCCTTCTCAATACCAACTCCCACTGAAGGCTGTGGAGCGGATTCCGTGACAGGGGCGGGCTCTCCCTTTTCCAAAGTGCTGACCTCAATGCTGCGCTCTTCTTCTTGGCTCTCATCGAGATCCTCCTGATTTTCTTCAAGTGGTTCTGTCATGACCACATCGACTTGCTCGTCGATTTCGTGTTCTGCATCCTCTTCTTCGTCATGAGGAGCAACAGTGATCTCCGCGGCATCGACCATGATAACGTCTTTGCCTTGCTGCGATTCTTCGGCGGCATTTGGGAGTGGTTGCACTCCAAAGCTAGCCTCGATGAGGTCGCCAAGCTCTTGCCTCAGGTCCTCAAAAGTCTTGTTCGTAATACGAGACTCGCTTTGAAGAGCTGATTCTAGTAAAGGCTGGACGCCTTTCAAGATCCTCTTGCCCAACTTCTTACGTTCTCGAATGTCAGAGTAATCCACCTTGGTAAGTGGAGCAACGACGCTTTCGAGTTTCGGCTGGACCTCGGGCTCAGATTCCCATTCCTGGTTGATACCGTCATGGACCACTTGACAAAGGTCTTGAGCAAATGCAATTGTAGTGGTGTAGAATCTTTCGTCAACCTTGTCCTGGATCTTCAGGAGTCCTGCCTTGAATACATTCTTGCCATCATCAAATCTAGCGAATCGGTTAGCACGATCAATGACGACAGGTAGAAAAAAGGAATACTGACTTGAACACTTTGACCATGACTTCAGGAAAGGTCTTGTGTATCGGGAAATAGCATGTATCCACAAAAGTTTGCATCAACAGAGCATCCTCAAGCTTCACCTCTTCGCGCCTGACAACTTCTTCAGACATGGCTTGCAGCTGCTCCAAGTCTTTGATGAGGGTCTCGGCGAACTCAATGCGCCGGGATAGGCGAGTTTTGCCCGAGGGTCCCATGGCTGCAAAGTTGCGACGAGTGAGTTCCATAGAGGAGAACGTCTCCATCTGGAGTTGCAGGCGCTTGAGCAGGGCGGCACCACGCCGCATCTCGCGCTTGAGAGTCCAATAGCGGGAAGCATCGCTAACAAATTCTCTCCTCTTAAGGATTGAGAATTTGGCCAAGGAGGCATCGACAATGTCGAACACAGCCTGCGGGATGATTGGGGCACCCGACGGTAGTTTCCAGACTGACTTGCCCGGTTGGTTCTTCTTTACATCGCCCAGGACAGCCGAAACCTTTGCCCCAGTAATCTGCGATTCATCGGCGGGATGTTCCATCAGGGCATTGCGATGTGTTGCGGCCAGGGACAATGCAGCTGCCTGAGTATTGGCCCAGATGCGATCCCGCATGGTTTTCTTGTAAAACCTCTTTGCTCGCCTTGTCGCCCTGGACACGCCATTCTCCTTGGCATACTCAGAGGGACAGTGCTTGTCGCATAAAGCTTTGAGATTTGTGCTGCCATCGAGCACGTCGAGAGCACCGGAGCTGTTCTTCATGCGCAAGAAGAGCTTGGCACGGCGTGCACAAGTGACATGAAACGCCTGGTAGCATGACTTATTGCCACATTGAATACAGGCTCCCATCTGCTGTTGGCAGATATAACATGTCAATTTCCATCGACTCTTTGGCACCTTTTCCACGTCCATGACTGGCTCCATGAAAGTATGGTTGCCAAGGCTGACCTCAGGGATCCACATTGCACAGAGCAAATGGGCCCATTTTGACGAGTTTGTCTGCTTGAAAGCACCATCCGAGTTGGGACAGAAAATGCAGGTCTAAAAAAAAGTTAGCGATCGTCTATAGAGCAAGGAATTGCAGAGTATCTTACCGGAATGCCACGTCCAATAAGCTGGCATTTCCGACAAAGCCATTGTCCCTCGGGAATGAAGGGCACGCCGTAACACTCTTGGTGGACTGCTAAATCACAGCCATCACAAAACACGATTGCGTTCGTGTTTTCACAATCTCCGTCGTCGCAAATTGCACATTTGCTGTCTTGTTCTTCGCCTGCCTGCGGCTCACCATTAACGGCTGCAGCAGAGCTGGACCGTGGGCGATGTGTTTGCGGTGGCTTTGGGTTCGGCTTTGGTATTCTCTTCTCCAGTGCGTGCCATTCCTTTTCAATCTTGGTCATTGTGATTTCAAAGTGTTCGCGGGTTACAGCGCTCCATCCTTGGGATTTGCGCTGCTCGTTGTAGGCTTCTAACCACATGTCGTCTTGTTCGTCCATGTCATACTCGACGCGGCCCAAGGCGTGGCTGTGCGATGGAGGCTCGGTGTCCGTCTTTGTCGCAGGACTGTCTGCTTCGTCCTCAATATTGGCGTCGGAGGCCTTGATGAGCTTTTGATCGTCGCGAATGAAGTTGTCGCTTTCCTGGTATCCAACATTCATCATTGCCTTGTCAACATATTTGGCCTGTCCAAACTTTTTACTTTCAAACAGCAAAATCCTGTCCGTCTTTCGATATTGTGGTTGCCTCAAATCCAACCGCTCTTTCGGTGTCTGATTGTAAATGGGCAATACTTTGGGCGTCTTTGGAGTTGTTCCCATCTCTTGGCGGAATGGGAAATACGAGTCTCTGGGACGGTTGGAGCGCCGTCTTGTCGGAGTTCCTGGCAAGGCGTCTGCGATGGATGTCAATGCACCGTTGGCCTGAGATGAAGATGCGTCCGCACCATTACCAGAGGCCACATTTGCATCCTTGATCGGGCTTCCGCGCTTGTTGTCGGCGTTTGCTGAAAACGTCAGAGGGGTTCCTGGGAGAGACTTGGCAGTCCCGTCCACATCATCTGCTTGAAAGACTACAAAGGATGTGTCAATCTCGAGATTTGGGTGGAACTCTTCCCAACCCCGCTCTTCTCTAGGCTTGTATCCCTCGCTCTGCACCACGGCAGCGGCGACAGCGGCGGCCGAGCTTATCTGCATCTCATCATCGGGTGCCATTCTCGTAGTAGCGGTTCGAATACGTGTGCTTCGTTCTCTTCGGGGGTAAACGGGCGTAGCGCTCACGGCGGAGGAGTTCCGGCGCACTCGGGGTCGGGGGTTGGTAGAAGGGCCAGTGCTCGGCCGGCGTCCAGAATTATCGCTGCCATCTTTTTCAGTCCAGCGACCACCACCACCAGGTCCTCCAGGAACATACCGTCGTCGTTTTGGGGGAGGTTCTGTCGCAGCTCCAGCCGTGACATCGCGTTCGCGCAAGCGAGACTGGGGAGGTAGGAGAGCGGCCTTTTGGCGGCTGGGACGACTGCTAGTCGCCGCCGAACGCGGCGTCCTGGGGCTTGGCACCATGGTGAAAGCCAGATGAATGCGATCTCTTGCGGTTGATGAGGACGGTTAGATCCCTAATCAGCGCGTCGCATCAAGGCGGCGAAGTTGCTCCAGGTGCGGCTTGTGCGACTGAACAGGCATCGGAGAGGCGTCTTCGGGGGTCTTTTCGCAAATGTGAACAGACCACCGAACTCGTCAATGCGTTTTGAGCACTCGCAAGATGGCAAAAGGCGCAATGATTCAATGAGGGGAGGTTGAGAGGTTGAGGGCGAAAAGCAGCCAGAACGCGTGAAGTCGAAACGAGTGGAGCTGCGACTGAACTAGGCCGATTTGGGGAGCCGCCCCTGGCTCCCAAACAGGTTTAGCGCTCTGCTTAATCAGCTCGGACGTCGCAGCTGGGGCCACGCCGAGATCTTAGCCCGCAACCCCGGATTTTCGCTTCTTTCTCGCATCTCACGGGGCCCAGATCCATCCCACCCAGATCAGATCGGTGCTGCCCTTTGCACGCCAGGCACAAAGAGAGTTGATTGAACCCTGTTTGCATCAAATGCGGTCAGGGTGATCCTGGGGAATTGAGCAATTGGAGAGGGCTCCTTGGCCATGGCGCATCCTATCAAATGCAACTACAGAGTACTCTCTTTCAAATACCAAACATCTGTTTACAAAGATGCTCATCTTTTTTGGTCATCTCTATCCATGCCGGGCCCATCAGCTCCTCCAGCAACCTTTTGGCGCATTCCCGCTCGGCATTTGCGTCGCAATACAGTTACTATCTATAGCATACCCGACTAACCTAAGCCGTCTCGCGCAGAGTTCAACTACCCGACGTCAAGCTGCTGGCCGTAGAATATTCCAAGCTAGAGAGTATTCAGCTGTAGGTAGTAGTCCATAGTCTAAATGTCTGCTACTAATTGGCAAGTGATGGCTCGAGCTAGAAACGTCATTGGCAATGTCGACAGGATTATCCTGGCCAATATTCTCTCAGCTCCAGTCTCTTCAATTCCTCCGCCAGCTGATCATATCATGAATGCAACCTCCTTTGTAGCTTGAGGATCAGCATAACGCATCGTGACCGAACATGAAAACCTGCGCCTTTTGTTGTCATGTCCCCGGTCGCAAGCAACTTTGCCCTGTAGAGCGCATAACACTCACTGCCCATCATGTATGGATCTCTCAATTGAATAGACCTAGTGTTGGCCCCCCTCCAGCATTGTATCTTTCAATGGCGCTAATTTCCACCCTCACCTTTGACATGCTTCGTCTTCAGCAACGCCAAACTCGGCCTTGACTACAGACTGCTCCCACACTGCAGGAATATAGTATCGCGGTGTTATCTTTACGAGTGGAAAGAGGCTTATCTAGGCGATCATTGTGAAGCCAGGTGCACACTACACAAAAAAACAGCGTCTACTTCTTGGCCCATTGTTGCGGGTCATTGCTCCAACTTGGCCACTCCATATTGCAATTGCGCAATGCAACGATACGGCACTTGGCCTCTGCCGTAGTCGGTGTTTTGACGGGACCGAGTATCATAGTCTCTGACCTGTTATGAACGCCCTAAATATCGCGCCACACAGCCGTACAATGTCTTCCATCGTTTTAGTTTTTCCCGTACATGGCCTCTTTTTCATGAACTTGACTGCCAAGGACGCAATTCAATTGAGCTATTTAGGGAAAACTAGTTCAACCACCTCGTCACAGTTTGCAAAAGACATCAAAGACCACTAATCATGCATAGTAATAGCAAAACGGCCCGTCCACCAGACTAACCAGTTCGCGAATCTTGTACACCTTGGAGTTCACCGCGTACAGATTAATATTGTCGTCCAGGCTCTGCGCCTTGCCGGTGCCCATCATGGAGGATCCTCCCTAATTCAACAAGCGCCAAGGTTAGAAAACCAGCAAAAGAAAACGGAACAATCAAGGCTGGGGACAGACGAGAAAAGCTTGACTTACCGCAATGACTTGTTGTCGATTGGCAAAGTCCTGGAGCTGCCAGATGGCCCAGGTCCGGTCAATCATGGCGTGGTGGAGCCCTAGAGGCACACGACGCGATTAGATGCAATGTTGCGCAAACCAAAGAAGGTGCATTTTTTTTTCTGCTTACAAAAAGCCGGGTCACCTGGTGAAATGTAAAAGTCGCCGCCAGGATCGCCGTTGATGGTAAAGTGGCCAGCCACGTGGACATTGATGGGCGCCGTGCTCTGCATGGTGTTTTGAAACGTCCCGATGGCCGAGTTGCCGGTGATGAGCTTGACAATGTCCTCGGTGCGCGAGTACTGCGACGACAGCTTGTTGCTAATGTCGCGCCGCAGACAGCGCGGATTGTAACCCATGCCGTCGGCTCTCGAGTTCTTGGTGGGCGCGGGCGATATGGCTGGGCTCATGGGCCTGGTTCGCCTTGTGTATTAGTATGATCTTGACACACGATTCTTTGACGAAATAGAATGGACTAACTCACCCGAGGTTTACAGTGAGGCTGGAGGCTGATTAATGGAATGAACATCATGGATGAACGAGTATTGACTCACTTCTTGAACGGACCAGAGGTGACACAGCCACCGCCGTTGCCGGTTACAATCTGGCCAGTGTGCGAGGTCTTCTCTCCATTTCCGCTCATGCTCAGCGCAGAACCGTCAAAGATTGGCGATGACTCGGGATCGGCAGCCCAACGCCCCCAATTCCAGTACTGAGATAGGTCAATATGGACTGTTTGTCATATGCTTTAACAAAGGACCTACCGGCTGGGTGCCGTTGTAGCCACACTCATTTCTCAAGGCCTGCTCATATGACCAGGTGTAGTATCGATGCCAGGAGAGGAAGCTACCCTATAAACATGTCAGCCATGATGCGTGGCGGTGACAAATGACTTTGAAATGTAATACCGTGCCATGTATGCTGAGAGTCTGGTTCATATGAACAGCGACAAAGTCATCATAACGAGTTTTGGCCCCAGGATACTGCGTCGCGTCCAGCTGTGACGGCTTCTTGGTCAGGCATAGTACCGCGTTGATGTAGCTTGACTTTTCAGTGTCGGTGAGATCTCCCCTTGATGCCTTGTATTAGCGAAATGAATGTATTTGAACAATGCTTGGTTGTCTTACCATTCTTTGCGAATCTGTAGCTTTTCCTTGGTGCAGGTCGTCGACTTTGCGAGTTGAGCATCAAGTGACGGCTGTCCCTTTGTCCAGAGATCCAAGACGGCATCCGCATTGACGACGCTGGAAAGCAGCCAAAGCTGCAACGCGACAACTGCGATGCGAACAAGACGAGACATGATGGAAATGTACACTGAAACTTGGTCGAGTTCGTGGGTCGATGAACAAACCAAAGAGTCGGCAAAAGTTCACCAGTCTTGGCTCCACTTATAGAGAAGACAATACTGAATACAGACGAGTGGCGCAGCAATGTATCACGGTATAATAGGATTTCGGTGGCAAACCAGGCACACGGTATGTCTCTATTGGCCAGGCAGACTGTCAATATAGCAACTCCAATATCAGTGCCTGAGCAAACATGGTCGCGTAAGGAGTTTGTAGCCAAACCCAAGGACTTGTCACGGCTAAAGTCTATAGACGAGCAAAGTGTTCTGGGCATTGGGTCAACATGGAGAAGTCCTCGGAGCCATGTTTCCCATAACGCGTCCCGTGGCAGGTCACAATTACCCGGCTTACTTGTTAAATGAGGCGTACTAATATCCTGCCAGGATGCTCACGCCAATAATACTCGCGAGGCAAACAAGGTGTGACGTGACATGAATTCCAACGATCCCAATCATATCATGGTCCGCTCTTACTTGGATACTACCATATATCTTCTGACTGAATCTTTAAATGTGCCAAGACTACAGTCATGTCCGGCAGTGTTGAATTCATTGTTTTGAAACACAGGAAAACTCGGCACTAAATATGGTCAAAAACATCCATTGGTTCAAGTAACGATGGCGGGACTAGTGAAATTTTTGGCGTAATGCGCCATGATGCCCTTACAACTTGTCTTTGAGTCTTCGGCAGTCATTCAGTCTTGCGGAAGCTCAGTTTTGCTCCATGTGTTGCATGGTCGACGGAACGGCTGCCGCATATCAGCCTCGAGAGCACGGCTTTATGGCGGCCCATGAATTTAACTCTGTCTTGAACAATCTCTCTGTTAATTGAAAAGATACTGTGCACGTTGGCGATGCGAGGGTCAACACTGAAACCAGTCTGAAGTAATCCATGTCTTGGTGCTTGAAAAAGTAGATATTGTATATGGAAATTTGCGCAGATGTAATTCCAATCTCGTCATTTTCCTCGTGATAACTGCTTCAAAATATTCCACCACAATGAAAACATCCTTGTTTCTCCACGGAAGCAATACTCAACAGTAGACCGGCTATCCCCTCATCCATGTGTCGGCGGAGGAGTAGCCACCACCATCATATTGAACTTGGGATTATTGTACCCGCCGCCCTCCTTCCAGGTACTCGCATAGGGGGCATAGTAGTCCCAATTGGACGAGGTATTGATGCCTAGCTCGGCCCAAACAAACAAGCCGCCCGCCACGCCACTACCGAGCATCGCATAGTTGGGAAAGGGGTCATAATTCGGACTGGCGGCGTAGCCCGTGAAGCCGTCGGCCGAGTTGCTGGTGCGCGCGATGCGGTTGGTGCTGTACGGCGCCGTGGCCTCAATGGTGTCAATCAGGCTCTGGTCAAAGAAGAGCTGGCTCAGATGCGCCACCTGGCCGCCGGTGTAGGTCCCGTTGTCGAGGACCTTGGACCCCACGTGGGCAATGATGTGCTCGTGGGTCGCGCGCCCCGAGTAGTGCCCCGGGAAGAGCGTGTCAAAGTTGACGACGCCGTCCTTGTCCGTGGGCTGCACGCCGCGCAGGTAGGTCGTGCCCAGGCCGCCCTCGCCCGCGGCGCTGACGCCGCTGTAGACGCCTTGGGAGTTGCTGTAGCATGTTGCTTAGCAATTGATTTCAGGGACAGGCAAATGGGTATCCAGAAAATAACTTACCATGACCAAATATCAATCAATACATTGGCTGGCTTGCAGGTATTGACATCAATAAACTGCAACTCCAAGTGCATCGGTACTCCCTTGACGTCCTCGACCACATTGCTGCGAATCTGCTCTTGGTAGACAAAGTATGGCCCATTGGCATTGTCGGGCGTCAAGATGCAGCTCGTGTTTGAACCAAAGAGCTCCGAAATGGGAGTGTCCTTGGTATACTTGAGACTGCTCTTGTCGTGGCTCTTTGCCATCCACTGGCGTAGCGAAGCCGCATCTCGCCGGTGAAGAAAAGATTCTGCATTAAAAGAAAGAAACATGTCAGTCAGTCAGTCAAACTGGGGGAAGTCGCTTCTGGCAGGTCCATGTTTCTTACCGTCCTGCAATCCCTTTTCCCGACGAAGACGCTCAAACGTCGCGGCCCTTCGCGCCACGGCACGCTCCCGTCGCTCCTTGACGTCGGGTCGGTTCTGGCACGCCTCGAGGGCCCGCGCATTGACGTCGGCCACGGCGTGCGCATTGGCAATCTCGTCCATGTGCGCCCGCTTGTTGAACGTCTCGCCCGGGTGGGCGTGGGCCGCCAGGGGTCCGAGCGACAGTGCCGCAAATACAAGAGTATTCAAAAGCATCATTGTCTTGCTATATCTTGCCGTCAGTCAGACTACTGCTGCTGTTACGAAATAATTTTCTCTCTATGTCTAGAGTTGAGTCTTGGACACTAGGAGTTTGTCTCCTTTTCTTGTTTCTTCGTGTGGCTGATGTGGACTCATTATTCCTCCAGTCCTCTCAAAAAATTCTTTCCATATGACCGCCCAAAGCAGACATTCGGCATTTGCCTCGAGGTGGTTACATTCCATCTGCCAGCATTTTCTGGGGTACATACGTGATTGCACCATTATCCTTGCTCCAAAGGTTGGGTCTAGGGATCGTGAGCGGCGACTCTCCAGAATTGATGCAGCACTACTTTATCCGGATGACCCCATGGGATGCCAAGACCATATATAAGGTCAATGAGAGAATGCCCCAATGATGTTAAAAAAGGCTAAATAAGGGGAAATGAAAAGGATTACGAGAGTAAATGTTGGAGGACCGACTAATTTTGATTGAATAAATACAAATGTTGTAAATGCCGGGCTCATGACCAAGCGCATCTTTGAGTGGAACTCGGTATGAGACACCCCAACGTCGTTTTGCACGGGCATTACAAGAGACTGACATGGCATGGTCCTAGTGGTCCCAACGAGGCACGGCTGCTACTGCTCCGCAAGAATGAACAGAAAAAGAAGTCGTTGATTGGGGGTACAGACCTTGGTCAGATGCTTGATCAGAAGGATTGAACTCAAGCGTCATCTCCCTTCGTCCAGAGTCCATAATGTCTCCATCTTGAACAATAGGATTGAAAGTAAAGAAGCGCGATAAGGAAGAGAGGAGTCTGTTTCTGCTTTAAAGGATGAATCAGAGAAGCTCCGCATCGCTGAAACAAATGAAAAAAAAAACAAGGTGCAAAACACTTTTAACACTATATATTCTAAAAGTTTATATCTGGATTATAATCAATCAGCATTTGTTATGCAGATTATTAATTAGGCTCTATACCTCAAAAGTGGGACTGCCTTAACGCCGCGGCCTGAGGCTTAGTTTAGCTAACATCAATTCTGATAAGCTCACAAATTCCCAACGCCCGCTTGGCATAGTGGTATTGCGTCGCACTTGTAACCCCAGTTGGTATATGCGACATGCGAAAGTCGGCGGTTCAATTCCGCCAGTGGGCATTTGCTTTTTGTTTTTGTTTGCGACATATTCTTCAGTTTAGACCGAAAAACAATCATCGTTTTCTTTCTCGGTGTTAATTATTTTTTGGTGTCAATCGTTGCCTATTAAAAGAAGTGTTAATAAACAGGTACGTGAATCGTGCAAAACCAAGTCATTTTAATCTCAGCATAACACGAGTTTTTAGAATGATACTTATAGGTTGGAAAAAAGTTTATTCTATTGTTGCATTTTTAGTTGAGTCAAGAATAGGTCTTGTATGAAAAGTATGCTCTTGCGTAAACGCCCCAGACTCCCGGTACAAACACAATGGTATCGATGCAACAACAAGCAGTCTAGAAAATGCTACCATCACTACTACTCCTCTCGAGTCTCCTTCGCCTCGGTATCATGCTCGTCCGGCTCATCCTTATACACGCCAGGACTCTCCGTCATTCCTTCAAAATCGCTATCCGCAATAGCGTATTCATCCAAGGGTTCCTCGTCATCCTCTTCGCCAGTTACTTCCTCGTCTGTGCCGACACTACCTTTGAGCAGCAGGCTTTGGAGATCATCCTCGTCAATAAAATTGTCCAAGCTGCCCTTTCTGATATTTCTCGTCTCGCGACGTCCCCGCTCAATCTGCCTTTCCACCTTGAGTCTGTTGGCAATGAATTGCAACTTTGGAAAAGCGCTCTGCTGTCCTTCGTGTATCATTCTAGCCAAGCGGTCCGGATCAGGGTCTGAGAGAATGCGAAGAATATCACTGGGTTTCGACTTGGGCCAAATGGTAATAGTGCCGCCGAATTGCTGAAGCCATAATTGAGACCAGTCCTGACCAAGGGGTCGTGGAAGTAGTTCAAGGTGTTTGAGAACCTTGAGCCATTTAGTCAAGTCGAGTTTAATATATTGCTCCGTGGCAGAGCCCAGATAACCGCCTCTCCAACCCCGACCCTTGCGGTGTGTTACGGGTGAGCCGACCGTGCCTCTGGAAGAAAAGAAGAACAATGAAATGTGAGGGTTGACCTGGCTGACGATTGTAAAGTTGACGTTGAAGTGGAGGTTCAGCGCCTTGATGGGAATATCGGTTCGCAGGCTGCCATCCTTCCATTTATGTCCGAATGAATAGGGGCTTAGTGACCCATCCAGATTCTTCATCATGAGCACGACTGGGTTCAGAATTCCTGGTACAGCAGCCGAGGCCAGAACAGCCGACCAGATGACACAGTCGGGGCTGGTCAGGTAGTTGCAAAGAATAGTTGGTGAGTGGGGATCGGCAGGTACACAGGAAACATTGAGAATGCGACCTGTCCGTTCATATGCCTCTCGAAATGTCATTGAACCATGAGCCCACCAACTGCATTGCCGCGCCCAGTCAATAGAGTCGAATCGGGCCCCGGTTTTCCACCATCTGACCAGCCATGCCGACATGGGCTCAGAGCAGGCCTTGATCCTGTGGGCTAGAGCCGGGACTAAGAGTTGCTTCAACTCCTCGTCTGTACGCGTAGCAACCAGTGATGCGACCAACGCACCACCGCTCGTGCCAGTAATGACCTCGGGCAGGAGATCTGCCTCCAGCAACGCCTTGACAACACCAAAATGGTAATATGCAAACGTGGCACCACCCGAGAGACACAGGGCTGTACGGCCATAGTTGGCATGGAGATGCTTGAAAAGTGTCTGCTTTTGTTCGTGGGAAAGTTGGTTTGTTTCTACGAGTAGACGTGTGCTTTTCTCGACTGTATTCGTGTTAGCATGAAGTTGACATTGTATCAGGCCAAACGAATAAACTGTGTGAACCACTTACCCTCCTCGACAAAGTTTTGTACAAGGTTCTTGGTACCAAAATATGTTTCACTGTACAGCCTGGCATTCTCGACACCAACAAAGTTACTCTTCACACTGGCCTCGATCAATGCCTTTAACTCGTCAATAGGCCGTTTCCTATCATTGCTCCTCACGCTGTTGGCTAATGTGCCGTCGTCTTGGCCAGGTTCCTGGGCCTCGGCCTCCCGCCTTAGCTTTCTGATCTGCTCCCAGACGCGGCGAACAGTCTTTGAGTCATAGTATGCATACTCATTCTCTTGTTTCCATTTGTCGTTGCCGAGATACTTGTCAAGTTCCTTGGCGGCGCTTGACCAGTCCTTGTAGTTGCTCGTGGCGCGTAGGCTGCGGCGGAGTCGCTCCCTTTGCCCGCGCCACGCGACAAAATACTCGTAGCCCCATACATAGAGCCGGGTGCTCAGATAGGCAATTCCAAGACCGGCGATCCAGGCTAGCGTCACCAGCAGAAACGGCCAGCGAAGCAGAGTGTAGAGGTTACCCTCTCGAGCCTCGTCGACACTGCGGCCCAGCGCCTTGCGCCTCCGTCGACGCCGTTTGCCAACCTTTTCATTGACGGGTGCCCAGTCGTTTTGCGCCGAGATGAGCAGACTGCCTTGACTGCCGTGGCGGTTGCGCTCGCTGATTCGAAGAGTTGCGCTCCGGCTATCGTGGCCATTCCCGTATCCGAGCCCGATGCCGCTTGACTCGGCCGTCGGCACCGTCGGGGAAGTTGGTGTCTGCTGCGGGTCGAGGTTAAAGGTGCTGGCACTTCGCAACGTGGGACTCCGTATCGTCAAGCCATCATCATTGGCTGGGTTGATGGGGTCGGGCGCAGCGAGTGCCTGGGCAAAGGACTCGAGGTCCTCAGGGCGGAGGAAGTCGATGTCGACATCGGGAAGGCGAGTATGGTCAAAGGCCTCTGGAGGGAATCCATAGTCGTGGTACGGCTTCCCCAGGCCAAAGAAGGTGACGCGGCGCGCCGACTTGTTGGGGCCGGCCTCGGTGCCGTTTGCCCTCTTTTCACTCTTTGCGTCTTCAGTCGCCATGATCACAAAGGCAGATATTGCAGGAAGAGTCACTGCATAATGAGAAGGATCCTTGACCGTGGTGCTTGAGGAATCACAGAAGTGGAGTGAAAGTCTCTGGGAGTGGTGGTGTGCTGCTGCTATGTTGAGTTGTGTGCGTCTGTATCTGCAATGTCGTAAGACATGTATTACGAAAAGGCTGGTACCGCCCAGAGGCTCATGTGGCGGCGCATTCGCGTGCACGTATCCGGCGGCGTATTTATCTTCTACCCAAAATAGTCGAGGTGGCACCTACGTAGGTTGCAGAGGTGTGTATTGATGCTGCAAAGGTCTGTTACTCACGAGGCATTGCACTCATTCTCTCACCCACCCGCAAAGCCACCAGCTGCAAGCACCGAAATGACGTCGCCGCACCCCCGTCGGGCTTTAATTTGGTTGGGGAAAGCAGCAGCTGTGTGTGGGGGCAAAGGAGATCCGAGCCTCAATCTAGTTGGTGGAGACCCCTGAACCTTGGAACAGGGAAGAGCTGAACACTTCATTCTTAGCGTTTATAAATGTTTTCTTCTTCTTGGGTCGGAACGTGTTAAGCCGCCTATATTCAACATGACGATTTAGTACCTTCTTCTTTCACACATGGGTCAATGAGACCAGTCGACACAAACATAAATACCAAGCCTGGTGATGGCCTCAAATCGAGGGAATGATTATTTGGGTTATCAGACGTATTCATAGTTTGGACAAGAAACTTTCAAGAAATCATGATTTAAGAAGGAAGAAAGAAAAAAGCAATAACTTACAATTTGCATACAGCTGCAAAGAGCATATTTGGACGCCGTGGGGTTGCCCTTTCTCCGTGATACCCATTAGAGATCTACAGAAACCCACGGCAGCGTGCAGACAACTTACATGAAGCATAATGTGGAATGCCATCTTGCACATGCCTTGGCATCAAGTTCGAAGGCACTCATGTGTTACGGTGTATATCCCCAAACCCGTGTACTGGCAATAATGGACGCAATAATGGACACAACAGGTACAGCTCAGAGTTATTACAACAGACTCGATTGCCATGGGAAACTGTCAAATGCCTCTATTGCCATGGACTCCTGCTGTAGAACCCAAGGAGTCCGTCGTGTAAAGATAACGAAATGATGAACAATGCAAGCAGCAAGCTGTCATATAAAAAAGAACTCCAATCCCACTTGAACAAGCGTGCAGATCATCAGCATTATCACCTCGTACACCACCCTCCAGCATTGTACTTCTTCGTCATCATTGTCGTCTGTCTCTCTTTCTTCTTTGCAAGCCCTAGTCTAGAACTACGTCTGCAAAGGTGCCCAATGAAAAGGCACCCCCCGCTCTATTGCGGCCTTCTCAGTTCAGTGTCGCCTAGACATATTGCGAGAGCCAGCGGATACCATCACCGTAGCCTGTGACATATTAGCAATGCGCTGAAAACCTCAGACCATGACAGGCCTTGTATATCCACTTACCCTGTCTCATAACCACCGAGCACATGAAGACCTCAATGGGTCGGATGCCCTCCAGAGGCACCTTGCCCTTACCCGTTGTCTGGTAGAGACCAAGCTCGTGGCGCAGCTGCTCCTCGGAGATGGCGTCGGGGTGGTCAATCTTGTTGCCCAGGACGACAAAGGGCACCTTCTGGAGTTCCTCCATGGACAGGAGGGCATCAAGCTCGGCCTTGGCCTCGGGGAAACGCTCGTGGTCCTTGGCGTCGACCAGGAAGACGATGCCGTTGACCTCGGGGAAGTAGTCCTTCCAAAGACGACGGGCTATTTTAAACATTTGTTAGTTTTGTCATGCTCGTCCCGTCGCGGAGGGAACCGTATTGCGAGATTCCATACCTTGCTGGTGACCACCAAGATCAAATGTTGTGAATCGTACGTTGCCGATGGCGAGCTCCTCAGAAGCTATGGTATGATTAGCGTATGCCCACGTGCCTGTCGCCGGGGTATGGTTTGGAAGAACATACTAGGGTGCAGAGTGGGCTGCAGGATAGCGACTCTGTCGTTCTGTGAGCATCCATCATGTTAGCATGCCTTTGTTGAGCTTATAGTGTCGCGACGGGCGTGGTGGCCTCAAAGTCGTGACCCTTGGCGGCCATGGAGACCGGGGTGAGCGTATCGCCGTACCTTCAACATGTGCAGGAGTGTCGTCTTTCCGGCATTGTCGAGACCCAGGAAGAGGAGCTTGGCGTGCTTGTTCAGCAGGCCGAGCGATGAGAGAACATCGTAGACTAGAAGGCACAAGAGCGATATGTCAGCAAAGGCACTGTTCCTTGGGCAGGCCGCCTGCCCCGTTCGTGAGGACTGGGACAAGAGGGAGGCAAGGCAGGATTGCGCATCCAGGTTGGAGCTTAGCTTACACCAGTTGATAATCCACATGTTGACGGTCGACTGTGCGCTATGTGTGAGGGGTCGGCTGGTTGTGCTGCAAGGGGAGCGATCACAAGGAGTGGTCGTTGCTTGGGGGAAGGCAAAGAAATCACTTCTTTGATGGATGATGCTGTTATGTAGTGTAGAATTTGTACGCGGCCGGCGACAATGGGAAGTCGGGATGGTACCTTTTAATGTAGCCCGACAGGTTACGTCGCTCTGGTTGGCCCTGGGCCTTGGTACGAAGGCAAAAGCAGTGCTGGCAAGAACGCTGTGACAATCTGTCCAATCAACGATCACTTGAACCTTGAACAATTTTTACGCCTAAAATATGAGGCAGCAATTAAAGTTGTGCACCAACTTTGTGCAAGTCCCGTCGCATTCTCCTTTCGAGGCCCCTTTTTTTGACTGTACACATTTTCAACATTCAAAAACAGTGAAACATTCTTCATTGGCGACAGTTTTATTGGCTTAAGGATTGCCATGGCCTTCCCGGGGACCTTTTTGATAGAAGTTGTCTGCAAAGAAGTCACGAAGAAGCGCCCATAAAGCAAACGAAATCACCAGTATGAAGATGAAAGATGTAAAATGATAAATCATCAGCCACTGAATGTGGCAAGTGTATTTCCATTGTCAAATCACCGGTTCGCCGCCTGATGCTACGTATGCCTTTGCTTTGCCCCAAAGTGGTATCCCCAATTGCCAATGACCGGCCATCAATATGCTAGACGATGTGATCCCGCTCCCCCATTCAGGAGGATTACGGCCATGAAAAGGAAACTCGTGACCCGAAAAGAAACAACTAAACTTTTTGTATGTACAAGACGGGACAACCTATGTGCCATGGGGGAGACCGACGCTCCCCAGAGTGCGACGCGCTCTAGAACAGGATGAATGCTCGCTCATAATCTCATCAAAATATGAAGGCACCAGAAATGCCACGGGTTGAATCGTCCCGTGGACTACAATGAAAAGAAAAAGAAATTGTCGTCTCGAAGAGATCTATATCGAGAGAACGTGAATCGTGTTGGCTTGTTTGCCAGCCATGTGCAGACCAAGTTCACGCATTCTCTGGGCGCCCTTGCCAGGCTCGGGTCTCTTCTCAACCACTTGACCCTTGCGCGCTCGGTTGCAGTGCTTCTGGATGTACTTTTCTCTGCGGCGCTGTCTCTTGTGCTCGAGACCCTTGACAATATCAATGGCACCGCGGACGTGACCAGTGGCACCAGTGTATGCCGCCTGTCTGCTGCGCTGACCTTTGAACCTGTTGGGAAACAGAGCAGGAGGTCGCGGGAGCGACTTGGTGTGCGTAAGTCCAGGGCGAGATGCCAGTGTCTGGAAGTCGATAGCTTTGGGTGTAGCCTTTTGAGTAGGCGTGGCCGGAGGCGAGCGAATTACACGCCCGGGAGGCGGGGGTGATACGCCGCGCTTCGGAGAATGACGATCGAAAAGCTTTCGAGGGGGCGGGGACCTTCCACGGTTTTTGGGCGCGGGTGAATGATGACGCTTGGGCGGAGGGGAGTGGTACCGCTTGGGAGAGTTGTGGTTGCTCTTCTTTCTCCGGCGGTCAGCTCGCTCAGGCTCGCCATTGATATCCTCAAGTTCACCGTGGATCCAGACATGCTCGTCGCTATCGTGGCCAGGCTTGTCATCTTCGTCCTCGGGCTCTGACGTGGGGAAGCTGGGGTCAATATCCTGCGGGATCAGATGCATCTTCTCACGTCTCTTTTGCGCAATGCATGAGATGTATGCGTCTTCCATCGGCCTGTCCTCGTCAAGAGTACCACAGACAAAGTCGGTACTGTCTGGAAGCTCAGGTGTTCCGGGTCGGATCCGAATGCGCTTGGTCTTCTCCCGGGAAGCGGTCCGCTTTGGCGCAGGCGCTTCCGATGACGAAGAAGAGTCTGATCGGTTGCCAGCCATGGATGGGCGACGTGCAATGGGGGTGGCGCCAGAATTCGGGAGAGTAGCGGCTTGACCGTGCGTCCAGAGCTCCAGTTCGTCAGCATCGTCATCATCTCCATCGGAATCAGCAAAGCCAATCTCGTTGTCGGTGTGATAGCCGTCGGAACCATCGTCGTCGGTACCGTACCCAGAAAGGTCATCCTCGACGTCGTCATAGCCCGCAACCTCCAGGTCATCCTCTTCCTCATCCTCGTCCACATCCTGGTCCTCATCGTCGTCGTTATCGACTTCTTCATCCTCAAACTCCTCCTGCAAAGCCTCTTCTTCGGCCTCCTGACCAAGCTTGCGAATCTCATTTTCCTTTCGCAAAGTATCGTTAATGGTCAGTCGCTGCAGAGCAGGTAGCTGCTGTCGGATCCAGTCATCTTCCCGGACCTCGTCGCTGGCAAACTCGTGAAAGCGGGACGATTCGCCGTTCAGATCGGCGGAATCGGCCGTCAGGAATGCCTTTGCCTTGACGGCAACGGGACTGTGCGACGACCGACGGCGAGGTGTCAGCGATCGAGGGGAGCGGCCAATGGACGAAGATCTTTGTTTCAGGAGAGTGGCAGGGGATCCATCCCGGCGGGCCTTGGCCGAGTGTGCAGCATCGGATGCTGCAGCTCGAACCGGCTCTTTATTGGATGAAGGCGCATTTCGCACCGGACCGGAAGGACAAGCGAACTTAATGCACGTCTTGCGCTGAGGTGGCTTTTCGACAGCAGTTTCAGCTGCAGTGTCCAGCTTGAGCGGCTGAGCTGGCTTCTTGGCCTCGGGTTTCGGTCCACAAGCAAATGAGATGCAGCGCTTCTTTGCCAGCTGCTCGACAACGGGATCACTGGATTGAGTTTCTGCTGCAACATCGACTGCCTTCTTGGGCGTCGTGTCGTGATCCATGGTCAAAGATCCGCTGGCTATCTTTGGGCGCGGCTCCAACAAGTCCAGTTGCAGCTGCCCAAGGCGGACAACCGGGGGCGGGGGGCTGGGAGTGCTAGTACGCGCAGGGCTAGTAAGTCCAGTATCGCAGGTAAGCTCTGCAGTCGATGCGAAGCTGACAGTGCTGTTCATGGAACGGCGTCTGAGTGGTAGGCTGACGAAGTCGAGAGGCGATGACTCCTCGTCAGACTGACCGTGTAGGGCCTGAGTCAACAGAGACTGCGGGTGTTCCGCATGCTTTCGAACCAAGGTTCTTTTGAACTCAGCTTGGTTGCTACAGATCTTGCGATCGTCGGGAGGCTCGTCAACGTCTGCCGCGACTTCTTCGTCGGGTTCATGTTGAAGATGCGCTCCTATTGAGGACCACGCCAAGATATTTGACGTGGCCAACTCGTGTATCGAGTTGTTTGTCATGGTGAATGTAGTATAATGTTTAGGTAGGTGTGTAGAGAGGCGGTCGTCGATCCTAGAGCCTATATAAGTGGCAAGGGTCGCGTCGTAGTAGTAAGATATATTCCAACTTGTTGTCGTCGCGAATGCGGATGTCTGACGAGCTGTCAAGATATATGGTAGTCCAAACAAATCGAAAACAGGAAAGGCGTCGCGGGAAGCCTGTGAATGTTTTGTTGACACTTTAGAGTATCAAGGAGCGTTTTTTTTTTCTTCCTCGAAGGATACACTATACGGTGCAGTCTTCAGACAGATCGTGTCAAGTTGTCCCTAGGGACCGTATTGCTATAATTGGCAGGCCATGGTAGATCTGTAAGTATCCAAGTAGAATAGTCGAGGTCTGGGATGTTGAGGGGGTGAGGTTTGGCGGATTCGAGAAAGGATCAGTCCAGATTGTTTTGAGTTCTCTGATCAGACGTTCTTTTCTAGAAAGTATAAGGTAGAGAAGTACGTTAGGTATTGGTAATGTGTAGGTTTAAGTTGTTGTCCCTCAGGAACGGTCACAAGTGCCGTCGGGTAGGGATGGAACGGGTGGCGCTAGATTGCTGGTCGTCTGATGGGGGTGACCAGCCAGCAAACGGGCGACAGAAAGTCTTGGGAAGAAGCAGCAGGAGCAGTAGTATTCCGTAGTGCGAGATGCTGAGTGGATGTGCGAGGGGATCTGCAGCAAGAAATGCAGGGCGCGGGCACAAAAGGCAGTGAAGGGTCCCCCTCTGAAAATCTTGGCTCTTTTTGAGTTGCCCCCAAGAAAAGTACCAAGAGTAGGAAGCACAGCCGTAGGCCGAGATGACGTCGGGACGTAGCGGGTTCAGTTGCAAACGGGAATAAAGGGAATCCGTCGCAAGCCAGCACCAAGCAAAAAAAGAGGCGCTGCAGTAATCCGGTAGTAATGCCTTACGTAGGTAGGTAGCAGACAAGAAAGAAGACGGCAAGGTTTTGGGAAAATTCCAGGAAATGCCAGGAAGTGAATCCAATCAATCCGGGCTGCCCACCTGGCTGGGTAGAACTTCCCAGATCAGGTTTTAAAAAAAGAGGGCACTTGGGCGAGTGATGAGAAAAAAGGTGCCGGTGCCGTGTGTCGGTGGAATGGGAAGAATGCAGCTTTTGATTGTGGGCGCAAGCGGCGGGTGGGCAATGTCGGGGCGTGTCGACTGATGAGGAGGAGGACATTGATTGATTGATTGATTGATGGAATGGATGGATGGGATTATAGTGTACGCTACGGACAGTACCGCAAGTACTCCGTATTTACACAGTATATACTCTGTAGTCGGCTCCAGCAAACCAGAGAACAATAAAAAAGGAAAAAAAAAAGGTTTCCATCGAAAACACCCTAGCAAAATCTCTCGCCGGATGGGATACGCGCAAATGTGGGCTTTTCCACTGCTCATGGCCCGTGTTATTTAAAATTTGAACAAGAAAGGCTATGGCACACAGTACAAACACCACCTGAATAGATTACTCCTGCATTACTGATTACGGGCTTACATACATTTCAGCACAGCCTTTTACAGCGCTTTGCCTACTAAAATGCGCGAGATATGTAGAGGTACTGTAAGAAGGCAAAAGGATCAATGATGGCAAGATAGAGGCGGTCTGGCGGGTAGAGGACATGAACTAGGCGGTATGAGAAAAAAAGTCTTTTTTTTTTTGTTGGCTCTTACATTAGACCTGAACGTAACCGCGTGTGGGCTTGAAGGCGCCGTACTATGTAAGAAACTGTACTATGTGGCTCAAAGGTCGGTATTATGCGGGACTTTTCCCTCGTTCTTTGTCTTGGTCGGTTACATACAGTGAAGGCGAACAGGGTGGATGGTAGGATGGGATGGGATGGGTGGATGGCCAGCGCTCGGCTTGCCTGCTTACGGTAGCGTCCGCATGGCATGGGATGGGGATCAAAGCAGGGAAACGAAGAACCCTTTTCCGTTTTCTAGCTATGGAGCCAGAAGGTACATTATCTACCTACATTTTATACCACCATCGAAACCCCCCCCCCCCATCACCGCAGCAAAAGTAGCGGGCTAATTGGGGAGGAGCTAGCTTGGGTGAAGTGAGATCGGACAGGGCATTGAATATCCCTAGTACCTAGGGCCCTGGGCCCTGCAGACTGGTCTTTGTTTGTTGGCATGGTAGGAAGCGAGGACGTGGGGTTTCGAGAGAGAGACTGGGGGAGGTCTAGTGTCGAAAGATCCATCTGTAAATGCGTATTCCGTACTGTACAGTAATAGAAGTCAAGGTAGCAGTGTACGAAATACCTAGCAATGTCTGCTTGGACAACAGAACCAATGGAATCGAGACTGATCTCCAACAGTGTGGGCGACTCGCGTGCGCACTCATATTACCACGCATTGGAAGCCGACGGCGGCCTGAGCGAGACAGACAAATGGATTTGGCCTGATTGGCTTGTCCTTTTGGTCTGACCCGAGTAAGGAGGTCCAAGGCTTATTAGAAAGAGGCTTTCGCTTCTACTGCTGTGGCCGAAATCGCCACGAAAACCAGCTATTGTTCCCAAAATACATAGTACACGCACTGGCGGATAGAGTAAACAAATTTTGCTGCTCACTATTTCAAAGCGGTGGCCCGGCGCTGCAAAGTCTTGGCCCCGTAGAAAGGAGCGCGACCAAGGAGACATACCTTTTGTTCAATGGCACGTTCGATATTGCTCGATAAAGGAAGACGCTCCATGACAGCTGAGCGGTGTCTGCTTTCCCAAGCTAACATGCGTCTGGTATTCATTCGTGCGGGTTCGAAGCCGGCGCCTCCGTCACGGGCACAGATGCCCTGTACGTACACAGTAGGGAGGTACCGTAGGGCCAAGGTAGGTAGGTAGGTAGGTGACAGGCTGTAGCCATTGCCGTGGCACAGTAAAAATTGAAATCCAATGGCAAAAGCCAGCGGCCGCGGAATCTGGAACCTGGGGCCCCCCCAAGGAGGTATTTCGGCGAGCTGCAGGCGCTGAATGAGGTGCGCGAACCGGAGACAAATTCTGCACGACCAGGGCACCAGAAGCTCCAATAAATCCATGTGTCATGGTTTGGTCTCCGGAAGCTTTCTGCGGGAAATTGAAATTGTATGGGGACCTCGAGCAATGTTTCCGGTACCCACCCAGCCCAGCACGCACATCTATGTACGCACGTAGCATCTCGTGTACTGTGCCGTCGACTTTTTCGATGCTGGAATGTTGCCGGCCGACAGATGCTTTGATTTGAATGCTGCTATTGTTGCTGCATGAATCAACCCCAATGCATCGTAGTGTGGATGACTCGCAGACTGCCTCCTCTTACAATAGCGCACACTCCGTGCACTACTGTAGGTCACTTTTCCATGGAGAAATCCTTGATGGGTTCGTTCATTTGGGCTTGAGTGATTTGATTTTCATTGAGATGCTGGCTTTGAACTCTGAGGAGAAAGCTTGCTGGTACCCCATCTGTCATCCACATCGATGATCCATCCATTCGATTGCTGATCTGCTGGCGTCTTCTACACGTGTACTGTACAACAGTGCGCTCATATGATTGAAAATCTCTCCAAGAGTGGCTACTATATCGTCACAGGAAATGATCCAAGTAAACGGGTAATACTCTCATATGAAGAAAGCAAAAACCAAACGACGTAGCATACCAGTTCAACACATATTCAGCAGGCGCAGCAATAACTCGTTTATGCTAGTTACGCCATTCGTGCGATATGCGAATGTTGATCTCTTCGATCTCATTGTTGATTGACTGCTATTTTTGCCCCGTCTTGCCTGATCTGGTAATTGCAAAGTATCAGCCCCTGTGCTTCTTAGACTTAGGGCTCACCACAAAGCCTCACGAGTTCTTCGTCTAAAAGATGGATCGTCAAGTAGGGGTTCCCCCCGGATCTCATAGTGACGACAGAATACGATTGGATAGGTTTCTGCCCTTGGCGTGATATTCCAAAGGTGCATGATTGTTGTTGTCGAGGATCTCCATTTTGTATTTCCATTCCTCCAGCTACCGTTGATGTGACCATGACATATCACCTCGTCAACACATTGTAATATCAGGTTCCATAACCAAATCTGTCTGCCCCAGAAAACCAGGTTGCACAATACACTTCCAGGCGCGAAGTTCGTACGGCCAGTTGTTGAAAATTCCCTAACCTACTGTTGTCTTTGGTCTCTAGATACAAGTACCACGTACATTGGCTTGTTTACCTGCACTCAAGGCCCGTTCTGCGAACTACGGCCTTGGTCAATTGCTTGGAACAGCCTTGCCGCAAACAGTTACACCCAAGGGGCGCAGGTGTTGTTGCTGTTTATGCGCTGCCGCTTAAAAAAAGAAAGCATTCAGACGAGTACCCTTGGCTTGCAGGATCTAGCAACAGCAGCGCCTTGCATCCTCTGACATCACTCTCCACCCGCACTTCAAGAGTCTTGATGGACCGCGTCTTGTCGTCGTAGCTGAAACATGACAATTGTGAGAATCGGGTCATTACGAATCATGCCTGGCGGCAGTTCACGAATGATACCTTTCCACCTCGAATAACCAAGTTGAGAATCAATGGGGTTAGTGTGCCAAGTAGATCGCCAGCCTACGTAGCCGTTTGATGATTGTCTCTCCAATGAGCTGGCGAACAGCATGTTCATCTAAGCCATTCATGTAAATCTGTCAGTTAACACTAGAAGCCACGAGGACTGCCAGCCGACTGTCAATCGTCTGTTCAAGCTTAGGTTGAGGGTTTCACCATTGTCCACTTCGACGCATCAAATCAACCTAGTGCAAATCTGTCAGGCTTCGCGGGGGTCGCATCTATAGAAGCATTCTTGCGTGGCGCACATGGTGCGGGTGCCATCTTTTTAAGAGCACTCATAGGCGGTACAAGAAGTCCCATGCTGTTGTTGCGCTCTCCATTCGCTGTTTCACCACATACTCGTGGACGGGCTTCTGCAGCTGATAGTACGATCCGGTCAGCAAATGCTTGTGCTGCTCTGACCACCTCAATTCGAGAAGCTGAAAGCATCGTAGATCCTTTTGAGTCTTGACGGGCTGACAGTCGTGCGAGTTTGGCAAGCCGTCCAACCGTCTTTCGTACCCCACACACGGCCCAAAGTTGTTGGCTTGCGCGGCGCCGTCGGCTTAAGGAAACTGGATGAAACCCCGCATTGTTCTGGTTTGAACGCTAGAATACAGAGAGAGATAGCGGCATCAGCGCATGCAGTTTAATCGAAACTTGGCCTGCCACTGCACTGGTTCAACTGGGATGCTGGCAACCAAGTCGGTCGGTCATGCTTTGGGTTCCCTCCCTTTGCGGGTCCTTTTCCCCTCAAAAAGTGTCGTTAAACAACGAGGTTGTGGGATGACTGGCGGTGGCTATCAAGTGCCGCAACCTTGCGTTTGCTCCATACCTGGGCAGGTTGGAGATTGAGACGAAAAGGGTATACCGAGCCCAACGGGGGAGGGGGTTAATCGCTGAGCTCCAGAGAGCCATATCAAATGTGACTTAATAAGAGACGTACGGGGCATGTGATTGATAATGCGAAACATTTTGAATCAAGACCCAACTTGATACCAAGAAGACCGTCGCATATTGACGTGATCACGGGGTACAGAGAGAGGTAGTGCTGCAGCCCAGCGTGAGGTACGATACCCAACGCGTATTACAGTCGTTTGCATTACGGCGTATCTCAAGTAAGAAACGATGCAAGGTACGCCCACCAGGAAGGCGTCCGTCATCTTAGCGGTCGAAACTTACTTGAGATCAAGACGGTGATTCTATCTAGAAAGACCTCATCTAGTAGCACAAATCACTGCCGTGCAATGTTCTCTACGTTTGACTTCGAGGCTAACTGGTCCATAACGGTGCCACGCGTGGGGCGGAGTATTATATTTTGTAAGCTGAAGTCATTTTCAACACTTGGACACATGCCGGAAAGTCTCGATAGGTAGCAGCCAGTAATGGCGTTGATGATTATGGTGTTGACACTTGTGGTAAGAACGTGCTTACTATGTCGTTGCTGATGCAATGAATGTGCTCCCAGAGTGCTGAAGGTGGCTGAGACTCTGTGGTGTGGCTTGGGGAGGGCGAAACCTGTTAGCAAGTCGGGTAGGACAATGCCGATACCTTACTTACCTACACTGCCTCTGACAAAGACAAGATCTGGGCTCAGGAGTTATTCAAACAAATGGTCTTGTTGTCGGGGATATTTGTCGCCATTATGAGAAAATCGAATAGGTTCGTTAGCAATTGTACTTTACATAATGAACTTGCTCATGTAGCTTTGAACTGGTGGCCATACAGCAGAAATCCACGTTCAAGGAAGAGCTAATCACGTGACTAATGAGCTAGCTCACTGCTATTCGAATCCAAGCTTTTAGCGGTCCTATGTCCTATGAAGACGCACTGGGCACGTGAACTCGGAGCAAAGTTGCCGATTCGTCCCGAGAGCAACATTATTCCTCAATTTGCGATTGACGACCATCGTGAGCGGATACGAAGCTGGTTGATACGCATCACCACCAATTGGCAGCACCACCCATCATGAACTCCTTCCGCGTCGCCAGAGCAGCTCTGCGAGCTCGTCCCGCAGCTTTCCGTGTCCCTCTGCAGCGAAGAACCTACGCCGATGCTGCCCCTGACAAGGTCCGTCTTGCCATGATCCCGGGCCCGTGCTGTTCCCAGTTTTCAACATAGCTGACCTCCGTCACAGATCAAGCTGAGCTTGGCTCTCCCCCACCAGGTACGATGCTTCGCCATGAAGATGCGAACCCCGACAGACGATAAATGTCTTGGGCACCAGAAGCCGCCATGCCCCGATCGCAGATGCGAGCGACGAACCGAGCTAATTGCCGCAACAGTCCATCTACAAGTCCCAGGATGTCGTTCAGGTCAACATCCCCGCCGAGTCCGGAGAGATGGGTGTCCTCGCCAACCACGTTCCCTCCATTGAGCAGCTGAAGCCCGGTCTGATTGAGGTCATTGAGGACGGTGGCAGCAGCAAGCAGTTCTTCCGTACGTGGATGCCGCATGACCTGCGATATATCTTGTCTAAAAGTTTCGACATGGCTGACTGGCTATAGTTTCCGGTGGATTCGCCGTTGTCCAGCCCAACTCCGCCATGAGCATCAACGCTATTGAGGGTTACCCCGTTGAGGACTTCAGCGCCGAGGCCGTCAAGTCTCAGATCGCCGAGGCCCAGAAGATTGCAAACGGCAGTGGCAGCGAGCAGGACATTGCTGAGGCCAAGATTGAGCTGGAGGTATGCGAGCCCATGGTCTCTTTGGGAAAACAAGAATAATAATGCTAACTACCAAATAGGTTCTGGAGAGCTTGCAAGCTGTCTTGAAATAGAGTGTATAGAGCGAGCAGGAGCTGCACCGTGTACATCAAACTTTCCTATAATCAGCATAGGCTTGACTGTGTGAATTGAGCATTGTTTGCGCCTTGAAGAGAGCAGCTCCTTCCCATGTTGGGTGCCTACATGCCAAATCTGGTAGCGACTGCCATTAGTTTGAATTGACTGACCCTACAGAACTTCAAAAATGATCTGGCCTCACATGTTCCATTTGCTTCGAACCTCACCGCGACATTGCATTATCCTATATTACCCCCTACGAATCAGGCTTCCGCAAATAGACTTTACCACAGACCGCAAGCAACACGATTAGCCTGGCCGCCACATTTCCGACGAGCGTGGATGATGGACAGAGCATGGCGGCCGGAATCATCGCTCTTTTGAGTGCTTCAGGCATCGAGCAAGACGATATCATTGTCTTCCCGACATTCGACGGTCCTGCACTCGGTCCACGGCCTAGTGACCTTATTCCGACTGGCACAGTTTCGTACCGGATTCACCAACTACATGGAAACATCCCTCGAGACCGGCGACCATCGAAATATCCATTGCCTGAATGGGATCGCGAGAACATGCTGATAGGCTGGGGCCGACGATCCGCTCGTCATGCTGCCAAGCCTGAACACTCATACACTGGCCTAAAGATCGCTCGCTAGGAAGACAGCGATATCCACGGCTACTCGCAGGAGATTCGCCATGATCATGACCACGACCTTGAAACCTACGAGCCAACCTGTGTAGCTTGCACATCCAATCTTGCTCACGGACATTCGCCCCTGCCACGACTCAGAGAATTAGAGCGAGGATCAGAAAAGTCGGTCCTTTCCAATAACTCTGACCAGATGGCCGATGCAAAGGTGAAAAGGAAGTCCGCTCGAGATCTCTATCAACAATACGGCATTTCGCTGCCCCCTGGTTGGTTGTCCGATGAGGAGGAAGATTCTAATCTGGCAAGGTCAGGTGACGGAAGCCAAAGCCCCCGATTACGCTGTCATATCTGTCATGTCTGTTCACATCGCACTTTAGCACCGTCGGAATGCACATCCTGTGGCCATCACTTTTGTCGGCAATGTATCTGCGAGCGGCAAGACGAAGTGGTGAGGATTTCTGAGCACTACTCACAGGACGAAATCATTGACAAGAATAACGAGACCCTAAGCCAGCACGAAGTCCAACGCGTCATCAAGATGAAACATGGTGCTTCAGTGCAGCACTTTGACTCTTTGTCAAATATTGGGAGATCAACAACGGCGAGTTCGACGAGGATGGAAACAGATGTCCATCACTCGGCACGACCAGAAGACCACGCCATGGCACAAGTAGAGTCCACGGCGTATAAGACACATGGTAGGAATCTCGGACAGAACCCATTCTTGATTGCGGACAGGGAATCTGGGAGGAAAGCCATCACGCCCAAGCAGTCAAACATTGTGGCAAGCAGGAATGAGGAAGTTCATGGTTCACCAACTAGAAACGTGCTACAGCCTGAACTGGAAAAGGCGACTCCGTCTCGGAACGACCAACGACACACCATATCCCGTGTGGGGGACACAAACATGGAACGTCAGGACAACCATAGACATCACTTTGTCAGTCTTCATGGTACTCCGCATGTTGCTGAGCATCTCGTAGACAGATTTCGCAGCAAGCTTCAGAACTGGTCTGCCCAACATTCCACGAAACATTCGAAGCCAATGACGCCTGTGCAAGCTGTCGCAGAAGTAAGCCACCATGAGTATGTGGAGGCGCTCATGCCACCAGAATCTCCAACTCACAGGGAGTGGAATGAGTCATTCTCTTCTTTCAATAGCCAAATACTTCATGAGCGACTTTCCCCTCGAGCTACGCCAACCATTCAGCGGGAATCTCGCAGGCTCAGACATATGGACTCGGGTGCTTTCGAGAGACGTACTGCCGGAGGTGAATCAAGAGAGTTGAGGCATTTGGCTCGTCCACGTACGACGGACAGCACCAGTACACAAATTCGGACAGTGCAGCATCCGCAAATGAGTAATCATCAGGCTTCTCTCTCGGGTTCGGGGCGCAATCAAGTTGCCCATAGCGTCCGAAGATACGAATCTGCAGAGTTCTAGAAGAACGCCACCGAAGAAGCACGACCGCCGCACGGCCATGGATGGACAGAACCAGCCGAAAAGCAGCAGCGCAGCAATAATCTGGATTCGAAGAATTTGGAGAAAATCGCGGCTTCCAAGATCACCTCCTGGCAGCAACGCATAGATGATGAAGGACGCAACACGACCCAAGCTAAGGCTTCCACGGGAGATCAAAGACCAGTGGTCCCCCGAGGTCGTCTGAACAGTCCGCCCGCTTGGCTAATCAGTCCTCAGAAAGAGCCTTCTCAAGCCTGGGTCCACCAGAAACTTCGACATGTTTCGTCCCAAGGCTCTCACGATGCTTGGCGAAGCCATCAACCGGACACAGAGTTACCGAAGCGCCCAAAGTCCTCGATTCACGAGGATTTGAGAAGAAAGCGGAGCCAAGTCCCAGTTGCTGAGCGTGTGAAGCAGCTTCAAGATCTTGACTTGTCAAGAAGGGCAAGCGAGATAGGCACAACAGCACATGAGGAAAATGCAAAAAGTATATCGGAGTTTTGCTCGTCTCAGACCCAAACGCGGCACATGAACCACGCAGGGCTCTTTCAAGAGCAACACAAAATGCCTGTGTCATTTGCAAAGTCCACAAGTCGCAATATGGCTGAACATGAGGTAATCCATGGTAAAGATTTAGAAGTGCGCCCTCGGGATCTGGTGGCAAGTCCTGCTCAGCACAGTCCACAATTTGCTGGCAAGCGAGAATCAAGTTTTAAGCACAAATTCGCCACCAACATGGCTACAACAAATAAACGTCTTGAGCATTTCCGACGCCAAGATCAATACCTACAAGAGAGCTACCGACAAGCGATAACAAAAGCTGAAGCTGAACTCGACCGCCTTCGTGAAGAAAAGAACAAGAATGGAAAGGAGCTAACCGAGCAAGCATCGTCCAGCCGCATCACAGCCAGTGGCTTCTCGACACCTTCGCAGATCTTGCAGCCACGACAAGTGCCCTTCAACCTCCAGCAGCGAGAGCAAGCGTCCGACAGTCAAACGTCAACTGAAATCGCCTCACGTCGCAAAGAAGCTCTCATGGTAGTCGGCAAACGCTCGGATCTGGACTTGCACCGTCCATCGGCCGTTGCGCCGCCCACCCATGAGTGTAGTTGGAGGGACCGGTATATGGCTCTTACATCCGAAATTCGTCAGCTGAAGGCCGAGATGTCGTCTGTAACTCGCGTGCTAGAAAGTACAGAGCATGAGGTCATGCACGAGGATCGGATGCTAGGCATTGAGAGCGTGACGATTGTGATGCATCTCAAAGACAAGGACGACCTTGTGATCAATACCGACTTGACGCAGGAAGGGGATGAGTGATTAAACAGCTAGCTATGCAGGTTGACAAGACTGGCAGGAGGAAATCATGGTGGTTGCAAATCAGGTCACTACTGCGGCTGCTCTATGGAGTGTCGGGCGAAGGACAAAGAAGTCTACTCCGTCCTCATGGCATTGCGCTAATTGACAAGAAATGAATACAAGATAGACTATAGTCTTTTGCAACATTACGGACTTATCCTTCGCATGGTATTTTGTCTCACTCGGGACCAGCTGATTGTTCTATACCATTAGAGCGAGGTAACGTTGATGTGAGAGGCAATCATTAACTACTATATTACCTACACAATTTGACTCGAACATCTCAACATGCCGTTGTAACCGATGCCACACAGGAGGCACTGATATACTCCACGAATATGTCTACGTGCACCATGGTAGGGTATGACAATTGAAGCCACTCAACCTCTCGAGAAGTACGTTTAGAATAATCAGGAAGTCCGTTGTTCAAGATAGACAGCCGTCTTTGCTCTGGACTTTCTTTTCTCTCTTATCATAAATGGCTCGCATAGTCATGCACTGACTCGGAGAACTGTGATCGACAAGACTGGACTTTGATATGGGCTTTCTCAAGATATGCATATGTGGACACGGCACGGGAGGATGGATGGGCCTGGCTGCAAAAGAGTGCATGAGAGAAGAAGTGGCACTGTTGTGGTACATAGTAGAGAAGGGAAAAAGAAATATACTACACGTATGCGAGTCACTCTTTCCGCTGCACGCACTATATGCGGGCAAGACCTGGCGACGGCCTCTCTCTCTCTCTTCCTCTCCCTCCCTCCCTCTCTATTCCAGACGCCGCCGCACCTCTCGAGTCAGTCACTGATATTGTCGTCCCGGGCTACCGGTGTGGTCTTGCATGATACTACTAAAGTATACTTTGTGGCTCAACGAACCATGGTTCTTGTACTCCATCTTTGCAAAATTACCACACATCCAATCACCTTGCCTTGTGTACGCTGTGGCGTTGCTTTATTTCCCCTTTACTCTTCTTCCGTCCTTTTCCCTCTTCTGGACACGGGACAAGGTGAAACTAGTGTGCCCGTACCATACATTTTGCAGCAAGAAAAAGGAAGGGTTTCACATACCATCCACGCCCTCGGGTTTGGTATGTTGGGTTTTCTTTTTCCGAGGATGGGGGAAACTTCTGCAGAGTCTCTCTTCCACCTTCTCTCTCAAAAGTCAAGAGAAGACTGGGCGCCACACAAAGTACAATATGCTCTTTGCAAAACTTTGCGATGCAAAAGCCATCAGAGAGAGAGGGAGAGGGAGAAGGAGAGCGTCGCCTCATTCCTTTGCCCCAGTATGCCACTTCTTATTCTTGGATTGTACTCTGTAAATCAGTCGTGCCTAGCGCCCGGGGAATTGCTTTTTTTCTCTTTCATTGCACTATCTGTCTAACCAGACGTTCCCTAATCTCTTCCCATTGTAATCACTGTAGCTCGACGTACCAATCGAGGCCCTTTCAGCTGTTGCAGAGGCTTATCTATGGTTCAACGAAAGAGACGGCAGAGTTTCATGTTTTGAAAGGAAAAAGAAGTCAGAGACGCTACTGGTCATGCATAATCGGCCGGACCAAGCCGCGAAAGCTGACGAGAGAGACAACATGACCACGAATGGCTGAAGGCTTTTTGTTTCAGAAAAGCTTGAACTTGACTCTGAGAACAAAATTCCCGTGCACTCTGTCAAAAATTCAGGGTCTCTCGGTAAGACATGAGCTGCTATTCTCAGCTTATGGCCCATGTCTTGTCTTTGAACATCTAGGTTTCATGTGTATAAGAGAGACAAGACAACCAGAGGCTGCCGAGGTTGCTTCTGTGTCTGACTAAGGCGAAAGACATCAATTATTGTTTTACAGTTCCTCAATAAGTTAAGTCTTCGAGATTTTACTCATTACCAACGGGCTGTCTGGATCGAGAGAAGCCTTGGTGTGATAAAAGACTACCTCCCCCATAGTATTTTCACTATCTGCAACATCGTCTGGAAAGACCAGAAAAAAAAAAACAAGAAGCATAAGGCGGCAACCACAGTATGACTGTTCAAGGTTCCCCGGTTGCGAAATCATCAACGGCCTGCAAACGAATGATTTGACATGTCCATAATCAAGAAAAGCGCACGCTGTAGATACTGCACATCTGACCTCACGTCAGTGGAGTTTGTTCTCATCTGGTTTTTTGTTTTTGGGTCAGGGTGTGCAAGCGAATGCCTGACAGACAAACCGTTTTTTCCCGTTGATCAACCGACAATACGACGGAACACTGAATAGCCGACGTAAAAATGGTCTTTGATACATCACACGATGGGTGGATTTGGTAGAGTTGTTTTTTAAAATCCCTCTCCACGTTTCACCGCCCGCGTGACTTTGCGGTGCATGGAAGAGGGGAAACGAAGAAAAAAAAAAGACCTCAAAACATTCGGAATAGTAACACTTTCTTTCACCCCTCTCTCCATCTTTGCCCCTCATCAAGAACACACGGAAAGGTAGAAGAACATAAAATCCCGCTTTTTCTTCGCAGTAAACCCCTCTTCTTTGCAACGTTCCAATAACAACAACCAAAAGACACAAGATGGGATGATCCGATATAGAAGCGGTCAAGGGTACCTACCTACCCGCCATCCCGGCCCTGCGGCGATCCCCCGTACAATGTGTACACGGTAGAAGAAAGAAGGGACTTTTCATGTCGTGCGTTTGACTAGGAAAGAAACCTATCAAGCCCCTGGTCGAAAAAAAAAAAAGTGTGTATACTTGCGAGGGAAAAAAGGAAGAAAAGATAAATGTTCATCGGACATTTGTATGTGAGATCGGAAACTTTTGTTAATATAGTCTCTTGGTTTCCCAGAGAAAATGGAGAAGGCAGAACGTCTCTTGTTTCGAGTTTGTGTTTACATGGGGGAACCTAGTATAGAAAGTGCAAATCTCCATTTTAACAAGACCATGCGCGCGATTCCCCCCTCTTTGCGGGAAGGGGAGAAAAAAGACTTGGGACGAACGGTATCCAATCCTTTTTTTCTAAATTCTTGTTCCCGTCGTTCTCTTTGTTTCCACGTGTTAGTCTGTAATTGACCAAGTCTCAAAAACTGGATTTTATTTTCTTGAGAAGAAAAGTCAAGTACAGAGTATGTGCCCCACGTATACAAGGGAACAGACAACAATAGGCACCTGAGTACCTGTTGCCTGGGAAGGAGAGGGAAAAAAAACACAAGTGCGTCACCGATCCACTATATTGTCTATATTTATGGATATATGGAGCACGAGGGAAGCGTCAGAAGAAAAGCATGATCACTAGGTAGTATGTGGCATTGGCAGGGTGGTTGGCGTTGCAGTTTTTAGCCTCTGCGCTGGAACAAGTCTAGGGTGGAGAGAGAGAGACAGACCCATTATCGCGTGATGCTGCTGCTGCTGCTGCCGCCGCCATCGTGTATATTGCCCGTATTGATAATTGTTATTCGGAGCGAGCCGGAACCCCTCCCAAAATGTATAATCATGGTCAAGACATACGGCTTATTAGAGCATAAAGATGATTTTAACATGTCAGCAGTAGCGAGGCGGGACCCGGCTGGGCGAGTTCCTTAGGTTATTAGTCACGGATGACGTGCGGTTTAGTATAGTATAGTGTAGTGTAGGCCAGGAGACCGCTGTCTATCACGACATGACAATTCCGAACCAATATAGATCTTCATGCACATTCTTTTTAGCTGACCGTTGAAGAAACAGACAAAAAAAACAATGGAACCGTTCTTCCAACGGTCAAAAAAGTTTCTTCCTCTTAGCAAAGTGTTTTTTCTTTTCCTTTTTGGCATGTTCCCGGCAATGAAAGGGTATTTGGGAAATGGGTTTATGCACAGGCGGTCAGCACACATCCAGTCAGCCTCACCTGAAAGGGCTATACCATGTGGACCGGGAAGCCATCCACTTTTTCTGTCAGCCGATCGGGTTCGGATCTGGTTTGAAAAGGGTTGGTTTTTATCAGATCCGAGCAAGGATGCCTCTCTTTTTTCCCAGATTTGCTCCAACCTCTTTGGTCTACACGTCCGTCTGGGCTTTACTAGGACTTTTTACTTTGTCTGACCCCTTAGGGGGTAAGGAGAACTGACCAAGAGTTTGCATTTCCAAGCGGTTGGTGTCTTGCAGAGAGCATGATCCCTTCCTTCTCGGTCCGATCAATTGCCGGCAAAGCTGACTTGGGACGTGAGCTTCTGCGGGTTTTTAGAGGGCGGGCAACGATTTGCTATCCAATAAACCTTGTTCTCTTGTTGGAATGAAATGGTGGCGTAGTCATGCAAAATCTCAAAAGTGCTTGTAGGTCCTCTGCCGTATGACTCGGGCTGGCTGCCGAGTAACAACATCTTATGCTATCGTCACATGTGAGATTTTCAAGGCTGCTTTTCATCAGATCATTTCTTGTTACGGACCGCTTCACGCTTCACTATTGTTCATTATGACAAGAGTCTATCAAAACTCTACACGATGACCATGTTGCTGGACTCAAGTTAGAGGGACATTGCCTCATCAAGCGAGGATCTTTTGGCCAGATGAGTAAAGTTGAAAGATTGCAGTCATGCGCAACCAAGATACAGTCCACGTAATATTGTACCAACTACTTTTCCTCCCATGATATTGTGCTCCTTGAAAAGCTGGTGCGCGGTTCACGCACAATGTGACACAAGCAGTCGTAGCACGGCTATCCGCATCTGCGGTGCAATTTGCAACGGTCGAGGTTGGGAGTATCCGTGAATACTTCTGACGAGATCAATCATGCTCGAGTACGTAATGTTGTGTTTTGAAGCTTGGAAAAAGGAAATTTGAGGCTCTGTAACAGTTGCAGGGAGACCGTGATACGTCCGGCAATGTAAGCATGGATGGAAGGGAATGCTCATTTCGATTCCTATAATCCCGAGAATGGGCATGTATCTGTACAAGCCGAAATGGAGGAGTTTAACAAAAAGATGATGACCTGAGGCGGTCAACTAACCGGAGACTT